TCGCGACGGCCGAAACGGCATTTGGAAGAGTTCAGCTGGAGACCAGCGTTGCGAAATACTTGGAGAATACTGGACAGTCGCTCTAGATGACTTGCGAACGTCGGTGAAAAAACAATTATATCATCCAAGTAGCATAAGCAAGTGGACCATTTGAAGCCGCGCAGAAGGGAGTCCATCATGCGCTCAAAGGTGGCCGGCGCATTACAAAGCCCAAACGGCATTACTTTAAATTGATATAACCCATCGGGGGTTACAAATGCTGTTTTTTCTCGGTCCCGTGGGTCAACAGCGATCTGCCAATAACCAGATCGAAGGTCAATGGACGAGAAAAACTTTGCGCCATGAAGGCAGTCAAGGGCGTCATCTATTCTTGGTAAAGGGTAAACGTCCTTCTTAGTGACCTTGTTGAGATGTCTATAGTCGACGAAAAACCGCCATGTGTTGTCCTTCTTCTTGACAAGCACTACCGGGGATGCCCACGGACTAGATGAGTGTTCGACGACGCCTTTGGCGAGCATTTTCTCGACCTCTTTCTGGATGACAGAGCGTTCGGCGGCGGAGACGCGGTAAGGGCGGCGATGAATTGGGTTGGCATCACCGGTGTTGATGTGATGGGTCACAACTGATGTCTGGCCTAAAGGGCGGTTGTCAAGATCGAATATGTCCGCATAGGATGTCAACAGACGGTGGAGGTCTTGTGCTTCGGAGGGCGAAAGATCTGGCGCTATCATTTTGGCAATGTCAATGCTTGACAGGTTGGGCGCAGTGAGCAAGTTGACATGCGGAGTAGGTTGCTGAGCCGACAGTTCAGAAATATCACACTCTTGCAGCGACGACATGACGCCTAGTTTAATACCAGCAGGCAGCACATGTGTGGAGAAACCAAAGTTCAAAAGAGACAGATGGGTCTGATTGTGGCATACTCTCACCACGGTGTGCGGGACAGCAATGGAGTGCTTTAGCACAACGTCGGTAATAGGTGAAACGACATATTCACCATCGCGCACAGGCGGATCACACACGAGCTGCACGTAAGTCGCGGCTTGCGGCGGAAGATGCAGGAACTCGGTGGCACAAAGGCGACTTTGAGCGTCATGGGCAACAGCGGCGTCAAAAGGCAGTTCCAACTGAAGAAGACCTGTCGAGCAGTCGATAAGGGCGGAGTGCGCAGAGAGAAAGTCGAGGCCAAGAATCACGTCATGTGGGCACTGCTCAAGCACGGTGAACAATACGACGGTCTGGCGCCCAGCAATACATACGCGAGAGGTACACATGCCGAGAACGGCAGATGTGCTCCCATCGGCAAGCATTACTGCACACTTAATAGGAGGCGTGATCACTTTTCGCAGTTTAGTACAGAGAGCAGCGCTCATGACTGAAATTTGTGCACCAGTGTCTATCAGGGCTGTAACGGTAACGTCATCCACCAAAAGGTCCAAAATATTGCGGCGTGTAGGAATCGTCAACAGAGGATTTGCAGAATGGGTCGTTAATGCAGCGTCACCTCCGGGAGCTGCATGGTCTAGTTTCCCGAGGTTGAGGGCCCAGGTCGTGCAGGGGACCTGGATCGAGGAATCATCGGCGAGAGAGATCGGCGGCCTTGGGGTGATGGCGACCGGCTGAACCTTCGGCCCTGAACGTTAGTAGGAGCAGGCTGTGGATCGTACGAAGTAGAAAAGCGGCGAGAACTGCCTTCAAAGCGACGCCATGTCCCAGTGTTCCAAGATGAATTGGATGACCAACGATTGCGACAGTAGCGTGCAATGTGGCCGGCGCGAGAGCAGTGAAAGCAGATCGGTCTATCATCTGACGTTCTCCATTCAGCAGGGTTCCGGTAGCGGGAAGGGTAGCGTGAAGGGTACACCGGAATCTGGTTAACAGAAGCCGAGCTCTCGATGGTGCGAACAGCGCAAACAGGTGTGATGCCGAGATTTGCTATTTCTTGGCGAACGACGGCTTGGATGAGGGAGACGGTGGATGCGTTGTCTTGAGGACCGTCAGAGGCGATGGCTGCAGGAGCCATTGCTTCGAGTTCGCGACGAACGATTCGGGTGACATTTTCGGACGATGTAGCTTGCGTGAACTTGGGGCTGTCTTCACAGGTCGAAGTGGCTGCAGTATTAGGCAGACGCGCAAACTGGCGGGTTATGCGACGGTTCTTGGCGTGCTCGAAGCGCTGACACTCCTTCACAACCGCGTCGACGGTGGCGCAATCTTTAACGATCAACAGATTGAACGCGTCATCGGCAATTCCCTTCAATATGTGAGCGATTTTGTCAGTTTCGCTCATGTTCTCGTCCACCTTTCGACAGAGGCCCAATACGTCCTGTATGTAAGATACATACGATTCTGTCGATGTCTGCACGCGACATTCCAGGTCTTTCCTCGCGGCCTGCTGTCGCCCAAATGGCCTGCTGAATAACTCGAGAAGCTTCAGTTTGCAAACGTCCCAGCTGGTCAACTCCGACTCATGCGTCTCATACCAGGTGAGCGCCGTATCCCGCAAGTAAAATACAACGTTGGCCAGCATCAACGTAGGGTCCCACCTATAGTATTCGCTCACGCGCTCGTACAAAGCGACCCAATCTTCAACATTCACCTTGTCCTTGCCTGTGCCCGAGAAGGTTCCGGGGTCTCGTGGAGGCAGGAGAATCAGAGGAGGCAGCTGCTGCTGCTGGTGCTGGTGCTGCTGGTGCTGGTGCTGGTGCTGGTGCTGGTGCTGGTGCTGGTGCTGCTGCTGCTGCTGCTGCTGCTGCAGCTGCGGCTGCTGTTGCTCTTGTGGGTGGGCCTGTTGAGCCATTGCAGAAAAATGAAGGTGGCGACCACTCCGAAGTTCCGTGTTAGTTTGCCAGAAAAGCCAGGTAGGCGTACCCAGCACCTCCACCAATAATCTTACAAGAAAACGTATATTTACAGATATTTACAACGATTACACGCGATCACAATGCCTGGCGCACTGGCGGGCTGGAACCAGTCTCTATCCACTTCGTAGTCTTCCCTTTTAGCCAGGGACCCTCTACCGCTTTATGCCCCAATCCCACTACTGCCTTGTGGCAATATGTTGTCTTACACACTTTCCAGGCGATAGGGATGGGCCCAGACTCATTTGATCGTTGCTTCAGCAGTGCTCGCGCGCTTTTACCCGCTCGTGAAAGTTAGGCGCGGAGGCATGTTATCAATTTGGACTTGTTACGAAATATGGCAGCGACGGCAAAAACCCACCGAGACTGTCCATATAATTGCTGTAGCAATAAATAGCAGTTTTTTTTATTGTAAAATAAGTGTTTCAGTTTAGCTCTGCTTTCAGTCTCCTTTTTGTTTAATTTGCGCGTTTATTTTCCGAAGTTTGGTACTGAATCTGCATATAACGAAATCTTCTTTATAACGAACTTTGTTCAGGAATTTACCAATTTCGTTATATCCAGGTTTAACTGTATGTAATAAACTAAAATTTAGACTTTCAGGACTTCGTTATATGGGAGTGTGATGGCTTAATAGCACAGGTTGTGTGAACGGCATGTTTGAGTCTTACTTTTTATTACATTTATAGCCTTTAGTATAAGGTTTTATTGGCCCATGCAATTTTTAGTTCCTAATGCATTGTTGTGAGATCCCTCTTCACCTTTGGAGCACTTGAAGCCTTTCATAAGAAGGAACAAAAATGTGAATAAACAAAGGTACCGTACACGTACTGTGTTTATATCGTTATTGGCCAGTGCCTGGGTATCTGCAAACAGAAGAGACAGTGTGAAAGGTATTGCAGCAGAAACACCTTATCTTCTCTTTTAGGAGTGGTTGCCATAGGATATGGCCACTTGACCTACATAGCGAGCTGCAGTTGCTACTGGTATACCAGTGCTGCCTTCTAGATAAGAATTTATTTTAGCTTCCTGCTGTATTGAAATAACATAGGTAATGATGATATGCATCTGTGCAATAAGTTTCTTGGCTGCTCAAACCGAAATTTCCAAGCTGGTAGTTGAGAAACAGCTGATTTAAGCTCTGTTTGAAATGTAATTTTGGCATCGTTTAGCGTATATTTTAATTTAATGTGGGAATTTTCACCCTTTGGTGCATTCAAACTTCTGTAGGCTTAATTCATTTTTTTATACGTGCCACTTGGAGTCGATTAGTTTCACTACAACTAACTTGGTTCTCAGTGCATTGTAGTCGCAGATCTCTCCATGATTTTCCAAAGCCACATTTTCAAGCATACAAAGGTGCACTCACATGCTTCCTTGGAGCCGGTTAAAAAAAAAAGAAAGAAGTGGTATACGTATTAGTTTGTTACGCTCAGTGTAACGATACTGGAAAAATACGAGGTGACAGGCATTATCTGTGTTCCTTCGTTTTTCAGACACTGCTATACTTCATTTCTGTTTATTTATGGAATACTGCAGGCTAATTCCACTATAGGCTATGCAGTGTAACAAAGGTTTAGTCCAGAACAGTACGCGGCAAACACCACATGAAGTCTTAAAGGTACCAAATACAATGCAACACTAAATACTGATTCAGGTAGTACAACAAAATCATGAATTGTCATAGCAAATCATCAGTGATAATGCAAGATGGTTCAGTAAAATATAGAGCACTAATAGCGGCAAGCAGGTGAATAAGAAAATTGAATTTTGGGATCGCTTGGGGGAATGAGTGTTTAAGCCTATCAGGATGCAGAAGTGTGGTCATAGGTAAGGGCAGGTGTGGCTTGTTGGTTCAATGGGAGAATTTTTTTTCTTGAATGGAGACGTTGTCAATAATGTGACTGTACATTTATGCCGTTTCCAGTTTGCATAAAGGCCCCTTTTCATGATTCTATTTGGTCCTGTGTTCTGAAGCTTATTTTTTCCTTTGATTTTTCCTAACCATGTTTTTCCTGACAATGCATGCACCTTATTAAGCTGCATCTCCCACTAATCGTGTGAGAATCATGTGTGTCGCATTTTGCGATTTTTCAAAGATTTCTCACTTTTTTTTCCATCTCTCTTCCTTCGCTGCAGCTGATTAACTGGACAACAAACGAACAGAACAATCTGAGGCTGTCGCAGAACTGTTTTGACTTGGAGCGAGCCAATGCCACAGCAATGGTGAGTGACGCAGCATCTTGACAGTATTGCGATTCGTATCTTTGCAGTACGTAAAAATAAGACGAGACACAAGGGAAATGCCCAAGGGAAGCACCGTCTTCTAGCTAAATATTTTCCTGGCAGTTACTTTTGAGGACAGCATCGCTTGGTGTGTGAATTTCACGAGTAGGTAGCGGACCGATAGGCCCTTGTGTGCTTCCTGATTATGAAACCTGTTGGTGCCGACTTGCTAAATGTGAAACAAATGAAAGCAGTCACTTAATAGTTACTACGCCAATGGCAGTCATACTGAAGTCGTGTGGCATTCCCTATACTCTATTTCATGCATAAGGTGCAATGTTGGGAAAGCTAGCGAGACTTTTTGCAGTAGATTTGTTTGCACCAAGAAATAGTTCAGTGATTTTACCAGCTGTAAATTGAGCTTTTTTTTTTACTTTGACTAAGTAATAAAAGAAGATTTCTTGTGTCTTAGAATAAGCAAATCCACTTATTTATATGGTTTTGAAGAGGTTATTTTGCAATTTCAGTTTCTTTGTTTTTATATTGTAGCGTACAGACTTAGTTCTAGTAGCATGCAGCCAGAGCCCATTGCAGAGGCAGTGACAGATCCAGAGGGAAGGCGGTAGAGGCCATGCCCCCCCACCTAGACCCTGCGTCAGCACCGCTACCCCCCTCCGTTAAATTCCTCTCGTCTACCTCTACTGCTAATTAGGACAAATTAAGTGTATCTAAGCTGTTACAAGGCTCTTGGGATGATGTAACTACTAAAAGCACATGAGTAAGGAACCCCCTCTACGCTTTTACTTCAAACGACTGCCCCCCCCCCCCCCCCCCTTCTCTCATAAAATAAGCGGCTTGATCTGCCCCTGTGCAGAAGCCACATTTACAACGATGAAATTCAAACACAAGATGCGTGAATTTGCACATTTAGGTGACTGAACATCTTGCATAACTTCCACACCATTGTTGCTGATCTACGGAACGAAGTATAAGACCTCTGCTCGCATTGCCCACCACTTTTCCGTTTTTATCCCTATCCTAACAGGAAATTTTCGCCCGCTACTCTAAGCTGCGCCAGTGGTCGGCCAGTCTGTGCAAGGACCTGCCGTCGGAGGCAGACAGTATATGTGCCGCCATGAACAGGCTCGACCTGGCCTGCGAGGGCCTCACTTCTCAATTCAGAGGACGCAGCAGGGAAGGACTCTCACCGACTTTGGAACACGAGCTACAGCAGGTAATACCTGATTAGTTGTCTAGTCTGTGCTTATTATAGCTGACACGAATGTCTCTTCGTTCTTTCAGAAAACTTGCTTGGTGTTTCTTTGATTGGAAGAGAGTGCTTATTTCTGGACTCTCTTCTATATGCACTGCAGTTGCAGGATTTCAGGTTTTATGGTATTATCTTGTCGAAATGGGGAAATCGTTGTATAGTGAAGAGGAGCATAAGGCTACAATGGGAACCAAATGTGGGTTTATAAGGAAATAAGCTTTCAAAGTGTAGTATGTTTGGGAATCAAATATGTTGGTGCAGTTGACCCCATCATTTCAGCTGACAAGGTGCTCTCTCTAACGAAGTTACACTGTAAGCACCTGTATGAAATGATTTGCTTCATACTTAAGTGGTAATATTAATGTATTGTTTTCATTCAGTACTCTAATTATGACCTTCAAGAAAATGTCTTAGTACCCCTTTTTTGCTAGTCAGATTATAGCAGTGTTGGGAGTTGCTATGATTCTAATCTCATTGAGGTATCCGCACCAGTAAAAGAACTTCTTCATACATTTATTTAGGAAATTCATTGTTGCATCATATGTTAGAATTAGTTGTTAATTCTTCAATTGAAAGCCACACTTCGAAGCTTCCATTGTAATTCTAGTCTTATTGACGTAACATCATTGTGAGTTCGCCTTCTTGCTCTTGGCACCAATTTCATCTTCTCCAATTTTCTTATACGTCTGTGCTGTCTCATGAAAGGAAAGAATGTTATCAACCTGCTTAACGTAGTGCGGACATGCGAAGGAAATCAGCACGAATTTCACATTGCCTAGTCAAAAAATTTATTTTGGTCCAGGAAACACATTTCATGATATCAACTAAAGGCCCTTTTTTCTCTGAAAGCCTTATAAATTTCTTTCAGCTTCATGCTACAAATGGGTCAGGTGGCACTCTTTTGCTTTTGTAAGTCTTCCTTCACCTTGTGAGCTTCCACAGAACTTAGGCGCCATGTTTTGTGCTGTTTGATCATTCATTGTCATACACGCATGAAAAACGCATGAAAAATGCTCATCAGACAGCTAAAAAGAGAGATTCCAAAGCATATGTTAAAATTGTTAATTAACCAAAATGGCTCACGCAGATTGCCGGCTTTACAATTTGACTTACTCATTTCGTGGAAGAACAGATGTTTTTATCTTCTTCGTTTCAGCATTATTATCGCATGTTCATTGCTGTCAACCTATTCCGTATCTTCACTCATTTCGATTTTACTCCGATAGTTTCTAGAGCTTGTCAACACCACGGAGTCACGGCTGAGGGCGTCGTGCGACGAGCCCATCACATCAACGGCACAGGTCGAAAAGCTTTGACAGAGCTTCAGGAAACAGAGATGATGATAGGTGAGAAAAAGGGCTTTTACCTTTTCTCTTACTTGTAATAGTGGCTATTGCTGTTCTGTTCATTGGAGATGTGAGCTGCTGCACAACAGTATTGGGAGGGGAGGTGGAGCCCCCTTGCCCCCTGAAACCTCTTCACTACCAAATGAAGATGTAGGCAAGAAAAAAAGTATGCTGTTTGAAAAATAATATTTCATGTGGTTCCACAATCACAGAAAAAAGCATTACACTCTTTCAAGTTGTAAGATTGCATGTACACTAGCGGGGACTTAAGTTGCAAATGTGGCAAAACCACCACTGATAAATGCAAACTTTGGCTTTTAGTGCTTTAAATATGTGTTAAAATTTCCAAAAACCAACAGCATGGTTTTTGATCACGCAGCTTTAAGTACTTTGGCTTAAGGGGGCAGACTGGTATTAGACGTTTTTTTGTTTATTCTCTTCAGTGATCTCGATCAAGCTGCACAGGATTATGCAGTTTTCCTGCTGAATTCAAATATTTAATTAAATTTTCTGTAACTCTTGTTCCTGAAATAACTTAAGTCCACCCCTTCTTGTTTAAGGCCGCCATAAAAAAATTGCTTAATTAAAAGTGATATTTAAGATAAGCCAACATAGACTAATAACTATAGATTGAACGTATGCACAATTTTTTTTGTTGTTTTTAGGCCTTGGTTATTTTACAGCAAAATGAACTATCCATTTTCAAAAGCAGTTGTAATTGTGTTACAATTTTGATGAGTGAATAATTAAAATGGCTTGGGCTCTAAATTCTGCTCCCATACTCGCATTCTACACACATACAATTTTTCCATTGCAAAAACAGTTATTGTTGTACCAGCTCTAGCTGCAGAGATATTGAGGCCTCTAAATCAAACTGTCATAAATTTACTTTTTTGAGAAAAATGGAAAAACTGAGAGCACACAACTTCTTCAAAAAGCAACAATCATGGTGCGCATGTCTTGCAATCCTCATAAAGGTGCTATAAATTCATAGCAGAGCTTCTAACGCAGGTGCCGGCAAATTATAAAGAAGCCTCGAAGTCGGTTCCCTATTTTTTTGCAGGCTCTACATGTTAACAGCACCAAGAATCTGGACAGTTAGAATGACATTACGAAAAAATTACGACTTCCTGGTGTGTGAAAATTTGCTGAGAGATAGAAAAATACTTGCAGAAACCAAATATGTCAATTTTAAAAAATGAATTTTTTTTCACTTTTTGGTCCCAAAGACCAGTCTGTCTCCTTAAGCGGCCACACATTCTCCTCACCGTCATTTCGTCTTGTTTCCGCACCAGCCGTTAATGTTAACTTCTGCTGTTCACTCTTAAAGTACAGGTAAAGGACGCTCTTGGTGGCAAAGGTGAGAGTGTTCAATACCACCAAGTAGTTTGCTGATACATATATGATTATTCAAGAGGTCACGTTCACAAAGGTGGTTGCTCGTAGCGAAGAACATGACTTTATGCGTCTGCATGCATGCATGCATACTTCACAAAGGCGAGTCTGCACTCTGAAACATTTTTATAAATCATATTGCTGCGCATATGTGCCAGTGGCGGCAACAACGAAGCAGCGCGAGGGTCTTGGCCGAGCGCGGGAACGAAGAAGACGTTGCAGTCTTTCCAGTGATCGATAAAACGTACATGTTTGTGGTTCTCCGTGTGCTTGTTGAACCCGCGTCTCCACAGATTACCTAAATCAATACGCGGAGACAGGTGCCCGGACAAAGGCAACGGCAGCTGAAGTGGCGCAATTTTTCATCGAAGCCATCGTTTTAAGACACGGTGCTCCCGCAACAGTCATCACCGACAGAGGTACTGCGCTCATGGCCGAGCTTTTGGAAATAGTTTTTCGACTAAGGGGTACAACTCGCAGCAAGACAACGCCGCATCATCAGCTGACCAACGGGCTCACCGAATGTCTGAACAAGACCCTGGCTGACATGATAAGCATGTATGTAGATATATAGCATAACAACTGGGATGAGATCCCGCCCTACATCACATTCGCGTGCAACACAGCTCATCAGGAGACCCCTTGGCAGACACCCTTCAACTTTAGACACAATGCTCCCTCACGAAAACGATGGCAATGAGGTGGACGCTGAAGAGTTTATGCAGCGAGAAGAAGAAGCCAGACAACTTGCCAGGTTGCGAATCACCGACCAACAAGACGACGATGGAAAAGGTTACAACCTATGGCATAGACTCGTCATATACAACGTGGGCACCAAAATGTAGGTATGGACTCCTATTCGTCAGCGGGGGCTTTCCGAAACATTGTGAATATCCTTCGGACCTTACAGAGTTCTTCTATGCATTAGTGAAGTCAACTACAAGGTTCTTCCAGACATACCTCAGTGTTCAAAGCGCCGAAGACATTCACCAGAAATTGTGCACGTGCTTGGATGAAACCATACTTTCAGTGACTAACTCTGCCGTTTTTTTTAGCCTTGCTTCCTGAATGTTTAACATTGCGGCGATGTTTTATTTTAAAGGCGGAATAATACCGCCCAAATGTGCCAGTGGCGGCGACAACAAAGCACCACGAGGGTCGTTGGCCGAGCGCGAGGACGAAGAAGACGTTTGAGTCTTTTTCTGTGATCAATAAAGCATATTTGTTTGTGGTTCTTCATGTGCTCCATCATCCCGCGTCATCACAATATGCAAACTACAGACATATTTTTGCCATCAGCGTGCGTAGCCATGATGCAGGCCCATAGCCAAGAATTTTTTTCATTGGAGCCCACTTGCTTAAGACCTTGGCTATTTTCGAATACTAGCACCTATTTTCATTGTTTATTTTCGGTAAACCACCCCCCTCTATGAGAATTTCGGGGAGAAAAGGTGGTGGGTAGGCGGGGTCACCCCCTTTTGGCTACAGGCATGTCCTGTGGTTCCTCATGTAGTCCAAGTTGCAATAACATTGCCTGCCCCCATGCGTCATATGTTCTGTGTGTGAGTGAAAGTGTGCGAAGGCAGCCTTGATCTGGACTCAAGTGGAGAGGAAATTCGCCTGCTATCATTCGTTGCATTGAAGGCCCATTGGGGTTCCTGGCTTCACAGAATCAGCAAGAGTTGCTTACTTTCTGTGGCCAGGCGCGACTGTGTGCACACTATCTTGACACGGATCAGGAGACTGCTAACACCAGTGTACAGGCTTCGTTTTGCTGCGTTTGCATTGATGCAATAAATAGCGCTAAAGTTGCTTCACTCATTGCGGAGGATTCGTTTCCGTACACCACCGTTTTTTTAGTTACACCTGGTTTAATGCTGAAAGGGCTTGGGACTAGTCTTATTTGCATAACATTCAAACTGGTTGCTATTGCATTAATTCACACTGCAGTGAAACTGTGACTGTCTATTTAGCATCTGTTGCAGCCAGTTTGGAGAAGGTTCTTACTGTATTTGTCTTTTTCGCGTACTTATCCACAGACAGCCAGCTGCAGTCGCTGCTAGACGCATTCCACAACCACGGCGAGAACACTGAGGGAGAAGCGTGTTGGCTCACTCGTGAGCAGGTCGTTCACGTCAAGGGCCAGCTGGCCACTAGAAAGCAAGCGCTCATTCAGGCGGGGCAGTTTCTCTGCTGCGAGGAAAATGCACTGCAGGTGAGGCTCTTTGCTTTCAATATTACAGAATGTGAGAAAGTTGTATGAGTTCAAGAGGGTGAAGAAACAAGCTATCAAAAAAGTTTGCTCTTAAGGCAACAATTATTGTTATTGGTATATTTCTCCTTTTTCTACCATAGTTTTTTTGTGCACACGGTAGACACGCCCCTCTTGTTCACTTCTTGTGTTTGAACCTCACGACCTCTTTTTTTCAACAGCTGGTTACGTGGCTCGACAAGCTCGCTGTTCGTCTTCAGCCCAAATTTAGTCAGGACGGCTATGAGCTCACAGCGGCAGAGCATTCCAGACTCGACGAGCTGGCTCGTGTGAGTGGCACTGTAGTCTTTTTTTCCAGTTGGCTTTAACGAAAACCCTTTGCAGATACCTGTTCTCCTTTTTGTTCTTGTTTTTTTTAACATAGACCTATATGATTCTGTGGAAAGTTGTTCTTTTCTATGGAAAACCTGTTTTCGTCAAGGGAACAGGTTTCCTAGAAAACCCATTTTTCTTACGTTTTATTATTATTATTATATTATTATTATTATTATTATTATTATTATTATTATTATTATTATTATTCTTGTAAGGTACTAGGTGCCTGAGTGAGGGCAAAGGAAAGTAACGCCTTTAACTTTTTGGAGTGCAAACAGCCTTTTGTAATTTTGGTATCTACGAAATCATATCACCAAAGTCTAGGTTTACATATTTAGGGAAGCAACGTCATTTTTACACACCTTTCGGCATAGTTAATGGACTCTCTTTAAAACCCATGCTAGCAACTAGGTATGCTTTTTAATCTCGCAGAGAAAAACATTCACAGCGAATTAATGCCTCTCTGTAGAGTTGACTTGCAATTCCATAGTATGCATGTGACAGCTTTGTTTTCACTCTCCTTGATTTCAGCTGCATGATATATGTGCAGCATGTCCCACGTCAATTTGATCTACAGCAGAAAAAAAAAACTAAAAAAATTATTAGTGAAAAACATTGTGTCCATTTCTAGGGGTCCCCGCAGGGGCGCCTGTGAAAGCATGCGTTTGGTGTGTAGCGACACCACGGACCCGAGCTAACGGGGGAGTTCTGACTCCGTGCCACGCCTAGCCGTGCGTGGCTCCGCCGTGTCCGGGGAAAAGGGGATCCTGGGGGTTGAGCCGACGCCGGTTGATCGGACCTTTAAGGCCCCCCCGGCAGACGCAAAACACCCCTTTGGCCCCGGCTTCACGTAGACGGCACCCCTGGGCTGACCCACCCAGGGGAAATCTACAGTCGCCTTTTTCTATCTCTTTCTCCCTACATCTTCGTCTTTATCTCTCACTTTTTTATCTATTCTGTCTTCTAGTCTCTTCCGTTTACTTCGAAACTTCCTGTCGGCTAGGGTTAACCTTGTGTAGTTACCCAACCTTGGGTAGTTATATCTGGTTATAGCGGCGATGTATGACTGGTGCCTTCAAGTGTTCTACCTTGTAGCGTCCCCTTGTTGGGCTCGGTGGTGGGTGGTCACCATCGCCGCCGAACATGAAATGCACCACATGGCAAAATCTTTCCCCCTTCTCGATGATTGGTCCCTGAAAAGGAACCACACCGATGAAATCTCCAAACGAACCGGAAACGATTGTGACCACTTCCCACGATTTTTAGTCATACACTCTCTGGCAGATAACGTCTCTGTTGCAAGACTGTCGGTTTTCCTGATAGCTAAAACCCTTGCTAACCTAATAGGCAAAAAGTACGACGCAAAGAAACTGTCATCCGGTGATCTTTTTGTTGAAGTAAGCCAGAAACAGCATGCAAACACTCTCCTTAAACAGAAGCAGTTCGCCCACCTGGACGTGTCTATCACCCCCCATCGCAGTCTTAACACTGTTCAAGGCGTCATTTCACAACGTGATCTGATGCGAGAAACTCAAGCTGACCTCCTTGAAGGCTTTCGAGAGCAAGGCGTAGTCGCCATCCAGCGAATAACCATCAGGCGAAACAATGAAGAAGTGGTGACGCCTCATATAGTACTAACATTTAACCGCTCCATCCTGCCAGAATCCGTGAAAGCTGCGTTCCTTCACTGCAAAGTCCGCCCCTACATACCCAATTCTAGAAGGTGCTACAAATGCCAGAAATATGGACATGGGTCGAACACCTGTCGCGGAAAACAAACATGTGCAAAATGTGGTGATCATAATAAGCACCCTATCGAGAGCTGTACTTCCACGCAAACAGAGTGCTCTAACTGTCACGGGCCGCATGCAGCATACTCGCAGACATGTGAAATTTTCAAAAAGGGAAAGGAAATCATCCAGATAAAAGTAATGGAAAACATCACATTCTCTGAAGCCCGAAAGAAGGTGTCGCTCTTCTCCGGAAGAACGTACGCTGACGCAGCGCGCCGGGGGGCCGGGCGGCGTCTAGTAACGGTGGGCACGCAGTACAGCTTTGCTGATGCGTGCACATCTCGGCCCCCCACCAAGCAGCCGCAGGCTGCACCAACGTTCGAAGTCTCGCAGGTCCACCTCCATCAGACCTCGGAGACAAAACAGACAATCCAAACCCCACAGGTCAACCTCCGTGAGACCTCGGGGATGACGCAGACAACTGAGAGGGCACCTGTCCCTCTTGAGAAACCTCCGTCAGCCTCTGAGTATTCACAGGGGGCTATGGATGTGACACCAGCGTCCTCAGCATCTTCGATGCTCACGGAATCTCTCCTATTGAAGCGGAGCCCAACAGAACGCCTCAGAGGGAAGAAACACCCTCCAGTCCAGGCGCCTGACAAACGCGGCGAAGTCTGAATAGCCCTCCTACCTTTCTTCCTTCTTGAAATGGCTGCAGAGAGTATCATCTACTGGAACTGCCGAGGTCTACTGAAGAACCTGGATGACATTTATGAAATACTTGCGCAACACCAACCTAACATACTTTGCCTTAGGAGACACACTTAAACTCAACACACACTAACTTTCTAAGAAGATATGCGGTATACCGAAAGGACAGGCATGGCACTGCCCATTCATCCGGTGATGTCGCTATCGTGGTGCAGAAAGCACTACCGTCCCAAAACCTCACTCTGGTCACCGACTTAGAGGCAGTGGCAATACGAACCCTTATCTTTGGACGAATGACAACTGTCTGCTCATTATATATCCCTCCAGACTACCACCTGTCCACTAAAGAGTTTGGAACTCTAGTCGACCAGCTTTCGCATTCATTCCTCTTGGTTGGAGATTTTAATGCACACAACCCCCTATGGCGATGCAGAAGAACTGATTCTCGAGGCTCCTTAATCGAAAACTTCCTCTTGTATTCCGGCTCCTGTATATTGAACAAAAAAGAACCAACGTACTTTAACGCAGCGTGCAACTCATACACAGCCATAGATCTTGCTATCGGCTCCCCTTCACTCATGGCAACCACAGATTGGTCTGTTATTCATAACCTCTATAGAAGTGATCATTTTCCTGTCTGCCTAAAACACACAGGAAGTACAAGTAAGACGACTACAAATGTATTCAGGTTTAGAGAACAAGATGCTGACTGGACAAAATTCCGAGAACTTACAGAACTGTCGCGTTCTTCTATTGAAAACCTAGACATTGATGACTGTGAAGCATTGGTCGTACTTCATATCATACAGGCCGCAGAGCGATCGATCCCACAGACATCTGACAAGACTCGAAACGAACGACGGCCCTGGTGGAATGCGGAGTGCAAAAAAGCTCGTGAGAACCAAAACAAAGCTTGGTAGAAATTTCGCAGGTACCCGACAGCTGACAACCTGATGAATTTCAAGCGTGCAAAAGCAAATGGTAGGCGTATCCGACGAGAATCAAAGAGGCAGAGCTGGCAGTCCTTTCTCTCGTCAGTTAACTCCTATACTGATACGCATAGGGTGTACAACAGAGTAAGAGCACTTTAAGGGCACAACACTCATCCGGTCCCTCTCGTCAGTACTGCTGGTGATACGCTGGAACACCAGGCAGATGCCATAGGCCAACACTTTGAGTATATCTTCAGCTCAGCACATTATACAGAGTCCTTTAAACGACACAAGCTTGCTGAGGAACGTAAGCCTATCCATGATAGAAGGCCATCTGCTGGAGGCTACAATACTCTGTTTACCATTGACGAATTGAAGGCAGTGCTGGCAACATGTGGCAACTCAGCTGCAGGCCAAGACAAGATTACATATGGCATGCTGAAACACTTACACGAACACACGCTTGATGTCATTCTCCTACTGTTCAACAGTGTATGGTCCTCCGGGCGCCTACCCAAGGCCTGGAAAGAGGCAGTTATAATACCCATCCTCAAACAAGGAAAGGAAGCCACACTTGTCGCTAGTTATAGGCCTATCGCCCTGACTAGCTGCTTGTGCAAGGTATTTGAAAAAATGGTAAACTGCCGCCTCATGTATTACCTTGACTATAATGGCCTCCTTGACTGCCGTCAAGCTGGATTCAGATCAGGCCGGTCGACAGCTGACCAACTCGTAGCATTCGAATCGTACGTCAGGGATGCCTTCATTCACAAACAACACTGTCTTTCTGTATTTTTCGACTTGGAGAAGGCTTATGACACAACATGGCGTTATGGCATTCTCCGTGAATTTCAATCCCTTGGAGTTTCAGGGAACATGCTGAATACAATTCAAAGCTACCTCTCTGATTGTACGTTCGTGGTTCGTGTTGGAAATGTCCTTTCAAGGCGGTTTACTCAGGAAAATGGTGTCCCCCAAGGTGGCATACTCAGTTGCACACTATTCATTGTAAAAATGAACTCAATAAACACTATACTGCCTAAAACAATTTCCTACTCTGTATATGTGGATGACATTCAGATCAGCTTCAAATCGTGCAACCTAGCCATCTGAGAACATCAGATTCAGTTGGCAGTAAATAAGCTCCTAAGCTAGGCAGACAAAAATGGTTTTAAGTTTAACTGTGACAAGACTGTCTGCCTACTCTTTTTAAAACTACGTGGTATAAGGCCGCCCCCCCAACATTTCAATGAACGGACACACCATTTCTACTAAGAAGGATCATAAATTTTTAGGTGTTGTGATGGATGAAAAGCTCAGCTTTGTCCCACACATCAAGCAGCTGCGACTGAAATGCTTAAAAGCCTTGAACTTGCTCAAGATTCTCTCGCATCAGTCATGGAGTACAGATCGTGACTGTCTATTAAACCTTCTCAGTAGTGTAGTGGTCTCACGTATTGATTATGGCTCGGTTGTGTACGAATCAGCATCGAGATCCGCACTTAAGATGCTCGACTCAGTGCATCACCATGGGCTTCGTCTGGCTAGTGGCGCTTTCCGAACCAGCCCAATAGCCAGCCTGTATGTTGAGACAGATCGGTGATCATTAGAACGACGACGGCAGTTCACAAGCATCAAGTATGCAACCAAGGTGCTCTCTCATGTCGACCACCCATCTCGCGAGCTATTGCAGGATACATCAAACGCCCACCTGTTCTTGAGGCGACCATCAGTCACGCCAACGTATCTCATCAGAGTGGCCTCACACTTTGAAAATCTTAATATACCTGTCTCCAATCTTCAACTAAGTTCCCACAAGGACACTGTGGCACCATGAGAAATGCGAGCTATCAAATGTGACTTGTCATTCCTAGAGGTAGGAAAGCATGGCCTCCCAGTCGCAATCGATCGGCATTTTATGTACTTGCAGGCAAAATACAGGTGTGCTGAGTACTACACTGATGCTTCCAAGTCCTCGGCCGTCGCATGTGCTGCATACGGCCCAGCGTACTCTGAATCTGCAACAATGAATGAACATACCAGCATATTTACTGCTGAGTGCTATGGCATACTGCTAGCTATAAGGCACATCTTAAAGAAGAAAGAACCAGCCTCCATCATATACACAGATTCCCTCAGTGCAGTGACTGCTTTGTCTTCCGCAAAGACACATAAAAATTCAGTGACTAATAACCTTCTAAACTGCCTCATGTCAGCCTACAGATCCAACCTGAAAATCACGCTATGCTGGATTCCGGGACACTGCAACATAGCTGGCGATGAGGCAGCGGACCGACTTGCGAAGTTCGCTGCACTTTGCCCAGCAGTAGACGTAGTTGTCATCCTATATGAGGACTTGAGGCCGCTAATCAGAAACCGAATGCGTAAGCAATGGCAAGAGGAATGGAACGCAGCAATTGAAAACAAATTGCACACAGTAAAGCCAAGAATAGGTAGATATGCTCCTGAAAAACTTGACCCGCATCAAGAGGTTGCACAGTGTAGACTTAGGATCGGTCATACACATGCAACGCACTCGCACCTTTTAAGCAACTCTCCTGCACCGTGTTATGAAAAATGTGGTGATGTGCTATCTGTCCTTCACGTTTTAATTATGTGCCCGTACCTTGAACCACAAAGACTGCATCACTTCCCAAAGCTATACAAATGCCACATACCGCCTCACCCTTAATTTTTTCTTGGGGACGATCCCATGTTTCCCATAAAAGTAGTTTTAAAGTTCTTAGCTGATGTCGGATTCCTGCACTTAATTACATATTCTCACTAATCTCAGCCCTCTCTCAATCCTGAGAGAAATGCTGAGACTTCTTTACCAGATGTCATGCAGCACACACTCCTTGTCCTGACAAGGACCACTGCCGCCACTCCGTGACTTTTTAAAACCCATAGGTTTAGACCGTTTTAAACTGATCACACATAGTCATTACACTTACGTTTAATCCCTATGCCCCACTCTTTACTCCTGCCACCCTGAGATTTTTTTTTTTCTATAATTGAACCAACGAAAAACCCTGTGTTTGGCGCTCTTTGGCCTGAGTTGCCCTTGCGCCACTAAAATCTACCATCATTCATTCATTCATTTCTAGGGGTTCACATAGCACTGTTTTCTTTACACAGGGTACGTATCATTATGGCTTGAGGCTCCTGGACGATGCTGTGAAGTTACGAAAGCAGGTGTGCGCCGTGACAACACCAAGCAACCGAGTTGCAGATGCCCTCTTCGATGCCTGGATGAACTACGTCGCCATCTCTAAGAGCCTAAGAAATCCGCAGCAAGCTGGTGGCACCCTCAGCACTGCAAGGGTTAGAGCATCTATCAGCTAACTCTGACAGGCAGGGATGGTTCCTTTGCTGCTATTACTAAGGTAAGGATATGATAGTAGGCAGTCCATTATACGTACCATATTGGTGTTTGTACAGAAAGGAGTTGTCATTGAAAAGTAGGCAGTGACAAGCACTGTCTGATTCGATTAGTTAGTTGTGCATTTGTGCCGCCACAATGGTACAGTAGCTACAGTGCTTAGTCTCTGACTGAAAAGACACTGGTTTGATCTCGGTTCAGTATTTCAATGGCATTAAAACTCTACGAGATCCTCGTCTTGTGCATGGTCGCTTTACGATGAAGAACCCGAGGTTGTCGAAATTCCTGGAGCCGTGCGCTACAGCGCACCTCATATTACCATAGTGGTTTTGGCTCATGAAACTCCAGAAATCGTTAATTATTATTTAGTTATGCATTTGCGTATTTACTTTGATATTTGTACAAGGGTATCCGAAAAGTTATCTCGCTTGATGCGATATCCTCCCATGTCCAAGTGACAGGGGTGGCTCCATATCTGGACCGCCTTTGAGCCTTGTTCAGGAACTTCATCCATGCACAGTGTGGGTTAGCAGCAAATACAGTGCGGCAGCAACTTTCGGATATCACATGCATGATAGTTTTATAGTTGCAAGTAAACCAAAAAAAAAACTTTCTCGATGTACAAACTTCCCACTTTAATGAAGTAATACGGGTGTAGTGCTCCCTTCAACTGTCCTTCAGTTTTGAGTTTGAAGCCATGTAGTCGGGCTTCATGAGAATTCAAATGTTTCACAGCTATTTTCCTCTGTAAGCTTTTGTTGGCAACTGTATCTATCTTCCTGAAACTAGAAGAGGTTTCATTTTTTTGCTTTTCTTTGCCTGTAACATTACGAGGCTTTTAGTTTTTTTAGGTGCCTTATTTTTACCAAGTAGAAGCCTGCCTATGAGCTTTGCAGCAGCAGGTCACAGGAGGACAGAGAATAATGAAAGCTGGAAGGCATGAGCTCAGTCTCGAAGATGGCACTTTTTATTGCCATTTTTCTTACTGCACTTTTACTTGCTGTTTTTGGATACAAAGTACTAAGGCATATTTTGTGTATGCTCTCATTTCTTGCAGTTAGCTCATTTTGTATGTCAAACGCAGTATGTCACAGTTCGTTCTTTTTGTCCACTTGTTTTCTGCATAGGAACAAAAGACGCGAGCAATGAAATAGACAAATGAAATGGATGATGCTGGCTACAGCTAGACATATGAAGACAAGCCAGTGAACATCTCGGAAGTGGCCCGTTGGCGATGTACAAGGAACCGAGCTTAAGGGACGGCCTCCGAAACTGCGATCTCACAGGTCATGTGGGCGACCAGAGGAGGTTTTTATTCAGCACTAGCCAAAGAATGAGTAGTAAGTAGCAGAGACATTGCTACTTAAGCAGCAGTAGGAGCCAGTGGAGCGCGGCGAAGAAACGCTGCTTCTCTCGCGGCACCGTCTTCGAGCTCATCATGCAACCCTGGAAGTGTGAAGGGAAAAGGCAATGTTAAACAAGGCTACAGCCTTTGTGTTAAGAGGGCGATGCAAGGCTTCTTTAGCAGGGTAAAAAATTCTGCCGATTGATAGTTGAGGCAACTGAGAACATGTGTGGCAAACACTATAGCGCTATAGCGCAGCGCACGGCCGGGAATGTACTTTTAATTCTTAAAGTGAAGAAAGTGCTCAAGTTCATGATACACGCCAATTATAGTATACGTATGTTCTTGCCTCCTTGTCAACCCCATTTCTGTAGCTTTCAGCGCGCTTGCTCATGCTAAAAGAGGAGAGAAAGTGCGTACTAAAGCACGCAACATATCCCTGTAACTTGATTCATGCTTGACTGATTAGGAACATTCTTTGTGATAATCGATTCATGAAGCAATTCACTCTTCATGAAGCCATTCGATGAAAACTTGTAAAAGCGTTGCGGGGCCCCTTTAAAGAAATACTAAAGGCTAATGAAATGCTAATGCAAAGTCTCTACATCTGCTCCTCGCCAGAAGAGAACTCATTACTCCTGCATACAACTTAAAGCCCATTTTAATCTTATGATATTTGCATATACACTGTGGCATTACTTTAATTACCCGACGAAATTTTATGTCGTTTGAAGAGAACATTTGCATCACATAGTTTACGGCAACTCGTTTAGGCGTGTTTCAAATTTGCTTTACAGTCAAATGTGAACATGCCAAAGCTGAAGGGGAACACAAAAGAGCTGTACATGTAGTTAATTCATTACATGAAGCATTTTGTATATTGAAAATATATGCAAGGGGATTTCACAACTGTTTGAGGTACACGTAGAATTGTTTTATATGAATTTTATATGCATGTTTGACAGTATTTTGTTTCTCTGAAGATCATTAAAGAAAGGAAATACAAGAACAGAAGGAAAAATGTAATGCACAATGTATATTTTTTCAAGCAGCCTTATCTTTTACATAAGGCTGCTACATATCCTTTACTAGACAAGCAACTGCCATTACAATTATTGGGTTTAGGATAGCATTACTCAAATTTTTTGTAAACAGCTCATCAAACTTGAGTCGAGTGCAGCGTGGCGTGAATGAGTATTGGTCGCTTAATATTGCAGTCTGAAGTCATTGCTGTGATGGTTGCGATAAATAGGAAGTAAACCAAATTTTAACAATGATACACTTTGTTCCAGATGTCTTGTGCATCCAGTATGACATTTTTTTTTTTCAATGCTTTCATACATGTTTGCTCTGATTTTTAGCTAAGTGCATCAGCTTTTGCTGTGCGTCACTTCACAAGTCTAATGCTAATAAATGTGGCGAAAGACAATGCATTTTTCTCTGTTACAGAGGCATTAATATCTGGGACAACACGATACGGAATGTGTAAATCTGCTACAGCTTAAATTTCCCTAGAAAAATGCAGAAATATTTTATTGCTTATATGTTAGGACAGCAATGACGAAAATTGGAAATCGTGCTCATCTGACAACAATGCTTCACATAGCTCTTGCTTTTAGTTTTTTCAATAGAGATAGTTGCTTAGGGAACAACCATTGTATCTTTCTTTGAGCTTACAGCTTTTTTTATGGCTTGCGAAACACCATACGTATTGTGAATGCTGTAGAATTTGAAGTTGGCCGGATTTGTACGAGCGTTTTATGCCGTGATATGAGAAATGAATTCTGGAATTATGGCGTGTGATATTATAGCAGCTTTCATAAAACGGCATATCGCCTTTTTGCATGTGCTGCACGGCGGCAAATTGTGCTGCGAAGGGCATTCTTTAGTAGTGTCATTTTCCTTGTGATAGTGAGATATTACTTAGAGTTAGCACCGGTTTGTGATGCTTCTCGTATGCAGCCTTGTGTATGTTGTATGCTTCAAGGATGAGCATTCGTTTAGCGTTCTGCATCCAGTAGAACAGGGGTTCTGAAAGTGGGTTTTGCAGGCCGCTGATAGATTTTCCCTTGTTTTGCACTAACCCACTGAACTCACTTAGATGTCGGTCCCGAGTTGTGATCGATTTGGGGAGCCTCCATTATTCAAGCCCAAGCATCAATAAGCACATCTCAACGCATTTATTTTTTTCAAAAGTAAAAATGAAAAAAGCTTGCCAGGGGGGAGGGGGTGGTTTTCCTTGCACTTAATAAAGCTTAGAAGGGTTCTCTGGCACCAACATGCTTGAGGGCCCCTGATGTGGAACATCACACCTAATGTTTGCGCATGATGTTCACACCTGGTGTTCACATTTTGTTGCGTCAGTGTATCCTAAGCATTTCATGTATTGTACATGTAAGCTTGACCTTGTAACAAAATACAGGCTGCAAGAATCACAGACGCATGCACAGAAAATCTCTGAAGCCATCTCCGTAACTGAACATAGGGAGCTTCATACTGTGGCCTTTGCTCACACAACTTCTACAGCATGCACGCGAAGCACCAAACCAGGAGCACATGTGTTGGTAGCACTATGTGTCAGGGTGCGGTATTTTGTAAGTGTTCTTGCTTAGAATGGGGAAGCGATCAATCAAAAGGATGAGGGGAAGCCACATGGGATTCATTGAGGCTATTCTGACGGATAGCCATGAAAATTGCATAGAATGGGCGAGGAGATGTCAAAAGAGACTCGGGCCCCGTTCTATTGATAGCATAAATAGAAAAACTGTCTCCGGATAGCCTGAATTGGATCAAAACGTGAGCAATTGAGCCCGGAGAATCAGATTAGTCTGTTTTGCTTCTGGCTTACCTCAATCTCGCGCCCAAAATTGCCACTGAACAACTTGTCAAATCGCGACACAACTTAGTGTTCACTCAAGACATTCACACAAATAAATTGTTAAGTCATCCTGCTCTGAAATTTGAAGCTTTGAAAAACAGTGCCTGTCATCAATAGCGATGTTGAGCTGTATGAATGCTGTATTTCTTCATGCGCTGAAAGCATATCTCAGTACCCTCAGCTCGCCTGTTGGCTGTTTGCTTCTTCTCGTCCTTTTGTTCAATCCCTCTCCCATTCTAAGCCATAATGCTTTCAAAATACTGCCCCAGATGACTGAACTTTCAGTTCCTAGTGAATGCAGGCATGCTTTCTTTGAAGGAGGTTTTATAGTTTGCTCACATTGCTTCTTTCCTGTGCATATGCATTTAGTAGTTGGCATTTGCCTCTTGACCAAAGGCAAAGCTGCATAAGAAACTAAAAACGTTACCCTGGAGAGATTGTTAAACTTGCTAAAAACTACATTTTATGTATCTCTAAAACATTGCATTGCATACTGTCAAAGCAAGTGTTCCATAGAGATCATTTTTTTTCTTCAGGTGTTTGTTTTGAAAAGAAATGATGGCATGCATGTCAGTGTTCCTTTTGAAGAGTGTTAGCTGTTCAGAGCTGACAACCGTGGCTATTGCCATGTTATGTGAGGTTAAAAGGAATACCGTACTATAGAAAATTTTTTCATGACAGAAGTGCAGAGTGAGCTTGAGGAAGTACTCGCATATCTCAGTGAGCTGTTGTGAACACTTTACCAATAGATTTTCTTTCACTTTATACATTTAAGACCAAGAACCCTTAATCTGGCTTTGTTTAGTGGACTATGTGAGACGCAAAATGATGAGATCTCACTTTACAGTGGCAGGCCCATATGGTTAGTTTTAGCAGCGTTCAATAGGGTCGCAAACAAGTGAGAATAGAGTACTGGTGCTTGATGGATAGGTGGGTGTGCTGGATTTCAGGCAAAATCATTTTTGAGCTGGTTTTTTTATCAAATCGCTGCCATCATTCATCTTTCTTAGAAATAGGCAGGGTAACTGTAACCTGCCATAAAGCTCAAACAACACTGTGCTGCTAAGTGCAGCATGTGTTTTTTTTTTACTACAACATTCCAGTATGGGCAAGACAATATGTAATAACCGTTGCAGAGATATGGCGCACATGAGTGCCAGTTTTGTAGCGACATTACTTATTATATTGTAAGTTACTGGGTTCCAGTGTTCTTAATGGAGTCGTTGCTTTGCTACTCATTATAACCAGCTACTTGGCACATACTGCAGCATCCTTTCTGTTTGTTTACTTTGAGGTGTTTATTCTGCATATAACTCTTTTTTTTAGCCCATTGTACAATTCATATTGAGCTTTTTTTGTGTAAAGCTTGTTGGTCTTTTTTTGAAGCACTTGGGTCAGATCATCCCGTTCGCTAGCCTCCGACTCGTCGCATTAATGAATGTTGGATTTTAAAGTGCTTGCCTTAAATAAAACAGGTGTAAAGAAGCATGCATGGTAGTTTATATTCACTTTAAGCCTTTTATCATAGCTAGCCTCATTGACAAGTTTTAGCTGTAAGGCATGAAGCTTTTGTTTTCTTTACTCCTGTACTGTTAAAATATGTTAGCCTTAAATAACCTCATTTGCACACTACCGGCATTATAATTGTCTAGGAAGAACACTAGTTGGGCTAGTCATTACTGTGTAACTGTTGCGAGATTATTTTATTGGGAGAATGCGTGAAAAGCTGAGTGAGAAAAAGTTGCTTACTGGGGCGCTGGCGTCCTTGTGTGTAGTACGTCTCCAATGTACATGTGGATACTCCCATCTGTGCCTGTACTTGCTTGGTTACGTGCTGGTACTCGGAGCGCATGTATTACCGCATATCTAAAAAACTCTACAGGGTACGTGTAGTAGTACGTATTGCGTCCTCATAAATTTGGAAATGTGTCTAGTAAAGATTTTCGGATATTACTGAGGCATGTACCTGCCGAAGTTTGAAAGTGACTCTGACATGACAAAATATTTTAAAGTGATTTCTTTCACTTCTATTTCTTGCACACCCATCATGTGAAAAGGCTTCAAGGTGTTTGCATTGACTTGCATCATATGTTGCACAAATTTGCTTCTTATCATTTGCCCATTTTCGTATTATGCAGCCTCCTGAAATGCAGCCTACGTTAGGTTCAAACTTGTCTCTGAAAACTAGCGTTATATAGAATGGCAAGTGGACAACACTGTCAAAAAAAGCAGCTGCAGAGATGTAACGAAAGGGTTTGTAAACATTTTATTGATAATTCATTTACAGATTGAGTAGTATCAACACCAAATGAAACACTGAAGTGATTTTGTCAGAGTTTTTTGTTATAAAGGCTGTTCACGTAATTAGTACAAAACATTGTTTGCATTTTGAAGTCTGCTTCTCAGAAATGTTATCAGCTGTCATTGCATTGTAGTTAATAGAGCTCTGTTTACTGAAAAGACGCTTGAAGGAAGGATGAGGAGGAAGTAAGCAGCTCATTCACATAGCCAAGATGTCTTGGAGAGTCTATGTCTCACCTCACTTGACATAGTATCGCTGTGCAACTTTTAACGTTTTACATCTGCTATGGTAGCCTAAATTAATCTCGTCTATTTTACGTTTGCATTCAAGTTGTTCAAGAATTGTTCAAACACATTTATATTTGAATATGATTAAACCTTGTTATGCAGCTAACATGAGTATAGTCAAATCCTCTATATAATGAAGCACCTCAGTATTTGAAACATTGTGTGCCTAGAACGGCATGAATTTTTTATCCTCAATTGAATGAGGCACGTTCACCCGTGGTTTCACTTTAATGATTTTTCACTACTACACAGAGAAAGGCCAAACGTGAAAATTCTCCTAGTATAGCTATTTGATTCGAAAACGTAAATTCTTTATTCTCTTATTTATTCAAAATTTCCCAAATATTTTAATACTTTCATAAATACGCATCTTTTCAATTCACTAATTTTAGTGCTGTGCGTGCACTGAGCTGCTGTCATTGCTGTGCCAAGCTCAGAATTGTTGTATAGGTGCAGTCAGTGAGCGTACAGTCATGAAAAATGTAGGTACAGTTAAGCCAGAGTTCACTAACATGCTTTCTGTCGACATCATTTCAGTTTGCACACTTAATTCAAGGCCCAAACCATTTTTGACTACCAGCTATTAGCTGTCTTGAACAGTGCTGTAGAGTTGTCGCGAAACTTATCCTAGCTTGCAATTTCTTGTTGGCATTTTATTTCTCCATGACTGTACCTTTGGTAACTGTCCACTATCAAGTACTACATATTACTTGGACTGTTTACACATGGGTCAATCTACGAAGCTGAGAGAAATTTTGCAGTTTCATGGGAAATCTAGCTTGGACATACAAATGGGTCACAATTGAGGATGGATTATCTACATAAAAAACTCATGTGTATTGATCAGGTGCTGAATTCGAAACAGCCTCGCAAATACAGTGGCATTTGTGGGAGCTGTTTGTGCAGCATTTTTCATGCGCACTCTTTTCAGAATTTCAGAATGCGGAACAACAGCGGAGAAATGCTGTGTATGGTTAAGTTTCCAAGATATTTCTTCATAGGCTTGTTTTGTCTTGCAGTCTCATTTTAAAACTAGCTTGAAGCCTCGTTATGCTGCACAACATTGTTCGTGAATTATGGATGATTTCGCTTATGGTTAGAATGTCTGCCATGTCATTGTGATAGAAAAACATGCAAAAAAAGCACTTTTGCTTTGTTTGCTTCTTTCTTTTCATAAAGGGTACTTGCACATCTAGCAGTGTTTCAATATGGCAGTCATTGTTGGAAGTCACTGTTGAAGCGACACTTTTAGTCATGTTTATGTGGTTTTTTATGCACATGTTCTTAGTCTCTGCTGCTCAATGAATAACTGCATTATGCTGTTAAGTGTAAACATGCTGTGATCACTATTGTAGCCTTAAAAGCTTGTTGCTTTCTTGCACCTGTATTTAACTATTGTACACGGAATAAAGCGCCAGTTATATTGTTCGCTGATGCGTTGCTTCTGTGTCAGTTTTCTAGTGAGGCCAGCTTTATGATAATTGTGAGCTTTTTTGCTCTAATGATTTCATGCACATGGAATGGATAATGTGGCATTTGAGAAGAACGGCATTATGGCTCAACCCTAGCTCACTGCCGACAACACATGTATAAACACAACATGTTATGTATTGCGCGATATTAGTACGTTGCTAGCGAAATATTGTTCGCTTTTTTTTTTCAGGGGCGAAGCTCCTTAGGCTGTGAGTCATGCCCTCCTCCATTTGTATGTAGCCACCTCTAGTTTATGACTTGCTCAATAGAAGGCGTTGTCTGTATATGCCCATGCGTTGTCTGTATATGCTCGAATTTTGGAACCATCTAAACTCCCTAAGAAATGATACGAGCCTAGAGCAGACGTTTATAACTACAGCTCAAGGTGCTAGGCTAGAAGGGGACGAAGCTATTGAATAAATAAGAACAAGGGCGACAGAAAAATTTCAACAAAGAAGTGCTTTATGCGCCACAATAGACAAGGATGAATCAAGTGGCTCAATGGCTCCATTTTCACAACGAGGGTGGGAAAGGGCTGAGAAGAGGGTTCCTAGTAGTACATCAACAGGCCCAGATGGCATTCCAATTATGCTGATAAAGACATTAGGTCCGAAGTATAAGCAGTCTTTGAGAGAGGCAGTGAGCAAAATAATAATCGATTGTGAAGTCCCCGATGGATGGAAACTTAGCAGGATGAGCACAATCTATAAAGGAAAGGGGGACAAAGCTGACATAAGCAACTACCGTCCTATAACAGTGACATCAGTGGTCTACAGGCTGGCGATGCAGATTATAAAGGAAAGACTGCAGGCATGGATAGAGAATGAGGGGGTGCTAGGGGAACTGCAGAAGGGGTTTTCGGAAACACAGGAGGTTGGAAGACGATCTGTTCTCACTGACGCAGTGCATCGAAATAGCAGAAAAGCAACACAGGCCCCGGTGACTAGCATTTTTGGATATCAAGGGAGCGTACGATAGCGTGGTTCAAGAGGAATTGTGGGGAATACTGGACACACTAGGCATGGAAGATGTAGTCACTAATCTTTTAAAGAATATCTATAAAGCTAACAAGGTAGTTATAAAGTGGGAAAAACAGGTATCCAAGCCTGCAGAGGTAAAACGGGGGCTTAGGCAGGGGTGTCCCTTGTCACCCCTGCCTACTCATGATGTACCTGCAAGGATTAGAGGCCAAATTAGAGGGAAGTGGACTGGGCTTCAACCTCTCTTTCGTCAAACAAGGAAAACTCATTGAACAGGCACTACCAGCATTGATGTTTGCAGATGATATAGTGCTAATGGCCGACAACAAAGAATATTTGCAGAGATTGATGGACATCTGCGGTAATGAGGGAAATAGGTTAGATTTCAGATTCAGTAAGGAAAAATCGGCAGTCATGATTTTTAATGACAATGAAGGTAGTGAGCTTAGAATACAGGAGGTCACGCTAGATATAACAGATAAATACAAATATCTGGGTGTATGGATAAGCAATGGGGCCGAGTACCTAAGAGAACACGAATTATACGTGACGACTAAAGGTAACAGGAATGCAGCGGTGATGAAAAACAGGGCACTGTGGAATTACAATAGGTATGATCTTGTGAGAGGAATATAGAAAGGGGTCATGCTTCCTGGTCTGACGTTCGGCAATGCGGTCTTGTGCATGAGATCAGAAGTTCAAGCAAGATTAGAAATTCAGCAACGTAGGATAGGTAGGCTTGCGTTAAGAGCTCATGGGAATACACCAAATCAGGGAGTATAAGGTGTTATGGGATGGACATCATTTGAGGGCAGGGAAGCTAGCAGCAAGATAAAATTTTAGAAGCTATTGAGAGAAATGGGGGAGGAGCATTTTTATAGGTAGGTAGTATTCAGCTATTTGCACATGAAGAATTCGATACAAAACGGAGGAAGTGAACCAGAAAATTGACTGGTAAATACTTAGAAAACAGCAGGGGGCCAAACCAAAAAGATTTATCGGTTAAAAGGAAAGTGAAGGAAGCCGAGACCGATATGTGGAGAATTGGCATGATTAAGATGTCCGCACTAGAGATCTATCGAACTTTTAAGCAGGAAATTGCCAAGGAAAGGATCTATGATAATTCTTGGAGTAGTTCTCTACTGTTTGAGGCCAGGACGGGAGTATTGCGAACCAAGACATATCGGGCCAAATGCAAAGGGCTAGACACGGTATGCAGTGCTTGTGGAGAGGAAGAGGAAAGTGCCGAACACTTGATAATGTTCTGTAAAGGGCTTCACCCTATAGTTCAAGATGATGGCGCAGAGTTTTTCAAAGCACTGGGGTTTAGGGACAGGGAGGGCAAAATAGACTTCAAGCGGGTAGAATTAACTAGAAGGAGGTTATCCGATTGGTGGCTAAAGTCAAGGCACAAGTGAAAATAAACTCTTCACTGCAAAGTACGAATCCTCAGCCTCACTATTTAAAGGAAAAAAAATAAATCTAGTTTTTGGTTCATTAAGTATTACGGCTTGGTGACGCTAGCCACCGCCCGATCCAAAGGGTACAGCCATATCCATCCATCCATCCATGGGAAGAATGTAAATAGATGGCATTAGTGGATATCCACAGCATATCCATGAAGTGAATGATGATGAGTAGGGCAAAGCATCTGGCCGGCCATCCGTGCCTCTGTCCGACCATCCGTTTGAACAAATGCTTCGTCCTACTCATCGTCATTCACTCCGTAAATATGCTGTGTTTGTTCTTGTTTTTTCAGCTAGAAAGCATGATTCAATCTTGAATTTTAAACGCACTTACTGCACAGTCTGTGCCTGGCAGCTGTTGGGAGGATTCCCTTCATGTTGAAGCTTTGAAAAACAAAATATTCAGTGTGCTCAGAATTCATACACTACATGGATTGGACTGATTTTCTATGTATGTAGAATGCCATTGTTATGGCACTTTGTAGCTGAAAGCACTGTCCCATGTTATTGTTGATAAAATCGTCAGGTAAGCATCAAGAATGCTGTGTATGCCAAGTGACTTCAGATGCCAGCAGCTTGGATCACAGCTTGAAGCACAGTAAGATGCTAACCCACAATACTTTTATTTAGATGTGCCTTTATGTTTGAAGTGGTTATGAGCATTGAAAGTAAATCTAAAGCTCTCCACTACGGCGTCTGTTGTAGCCCCGATGGGACGTCAGGGCCCGTCCACCAGCTGATTACTATTTCTCTGTCCTAAGTGGCAAACGGCGATGTTGCTAATGTGACTAAACCTCTGCTGCCAGTTTTGCGAAGCATTCTGTGAGTTTTATTTGCTCCCTTGTACATCAACATTACAGTTCTTATTCAACCTCACAGGCGCCATTGATACTTAATAAAGAAAACCTTTCTTTTTCGGCACAGCTGCCAATTTTGGTGGCATTTGTTTGTACCTACAAACGCCTGCTTGCTGGTGCCGATTTCTGAACTGAGTTCAAGAGTGTAACATGTGGTACATAATCTAAAAGTCGTACAACTCACCAAAGTCTTCTGTGCCATTACATTTGGGTCGTAGGGAAAATCTTTTATCGTTGACTGTAAGAAAAGAAAAAGGTTCTTGTTTTCATATATGAAGAAAAAAGAAACACTCCCGTTTTGCTGCTATTAAAAGAGAAGTAAAGAAATACGCGTAACAAACCCACATAGCATATTCACTAGTGCTAAAGCTACAAACACAGTTCAATGGCTCACCTTCATTGAAACCACAGACATTTATTACACGAGTTTCATTTAAATTTGGCAATACGTTAATTGCTTCGACACTCCGTTAGGGGTGAACAAAACATTTTTTTTTTTTTTTAAGGCGATAACATTCGGGCCTCTATGATGCATGGCCATATCCGAGATACAAAAGATTAGAAATGCTGTATATGCTGTCTTAGCATATACAGTGCATATACAGAGCATATAAAGTAACCCGACGGAAGACGTGTTGCAGCTTGGGCTAGTTGGTATGGCATATGGTCTTTCGTGTCCTTCTTGTCTCTGTGTCGTCGTTTTGTTCTCGCGCTATAACTATCGTCATTGACGGAAGACATCACGTGAGCGCAGGAGTATTAAATCGAGCAACTGCCGTGATCATTCATCTTGAGACAGCTGCAGTTTTCGCTTCGACATTTACGGGTAGTGTGCCGAAAGTATGTGCTTCTCGGCGTGAAATAGTTATATCAACACACTCGACGTTTTTTTTTTTTTTTTTTTCAGTGATCGCCTTCAAGGCGGACGTTGCAGCCGTGATCAGCCGCATTTCAGCAGCGCATGCTCGTGAACCTGTCTCATTTTATATATCCGGTGAGGGTGAACTTCCGAAATTGGTGGCTAAAGTCAAGGCACGAGTGAAAATTAAACCCTTCACTGCAAAGTACGAATCCTCAACCTCACTATTTAAAGGAGAAAAAAATAAATCTCGTTTTTGGTTCATTAAGTATTACGGCTTGGTGGCGCTAGCCACCACCCAATCTAAAGGGTACAGCCATATCAATCCATCCATCCATCCTGAGCGCAGACCACGCGTTCGCGTTCCCTTTCATAAAGGACGACAGTGTACATGAGCTTCGTGGTCTGTGCCTTCACTGTTATTTTTTCTTCTCTCAAACGCTTTGTCTCTGCAATGTCTTTCGAAATTTTCTTGCCGATTTCAGTGCCCTTCACTGAACATTTGTCATTACCCATAGGCGTTATGAGCTAGGAGGATATATATAAAAAAATTGCTGGAGTGGAGGGAGCGCTCTTCAAGTGAAGCCAGCGCCGCCATGTTGTGGTGGGCAGAAAGCTCGGCTCGGCTGGCTCGGTGGCGGCCAGCGCTGCCAGTTCACCTGCAGCGACGGTGGATTGCGGTTCGTGCGCCTGTCTTTCCTTGACAAGTGTGTCTCTGCAGTGCATTCGAATGCGTGCGGCTCGATTCAAGCGAGCATGGTACAATCCTGCGTAGCGTATGGGTGCACAAATCGCGCGATTCCTGCTTCCAAGATCACATTTCACAGGTGCGTACTGAAAGCACGTAGTGCTTACGCGGTCTAATACGGCTGACTCGTGTTTTTCATTGGTAGGCTTAAGGAATTAATATTTGGAAATTATTGGCAGGTTTCCAAAAGATGCTGAGACACGGAACCTATGGGAGCGAGCTGTGCGTCGTGAACACTGGAAACCGACAGATAAAGATCGCCTTTGCTCTGCGCACTTTGATCCGGCGTGTTTTGACCGGACCGGACAAACAACAAGGTTGAAAGCGGGAAGTGTGCCGACTTCGTTCGCTGCTTTTCCTGCCCACCTCCAGGCACCGGTAAGCATCGGAACTTCGCAGATATAGTGCTCTGACATCAAGGAGGTTGGAATGACGTAGACATATCTCTTCTGTCGTGTTTTGTCGACGTGACTGCATTGCTGCGTGTTTCCTCGCGAGCTTTTCGTCCCGTTCGCTCGTTTACAATATCGCTCAACACACGATTAGCGCATGATCATTGTCGAATGTTCCCGAACATGCTTTCGTGAATACATATATTCATGTTATGAGCAATAATTGAAGTATATATATCATTCTAAAAGTAGTTAATTTCCACTATGTGCTTATTTCAGGTGAAAAGGAAGCGGCCAGCACCAAAACCTCGAGGATGCAGTCCTGCTCAGCAGCAAGAGGCCTTAAATACTGAAGATCATGTCACTGTATCACCATCAAAGCAGTGGTACAAGACGAAGTTGCAGGAAACAGAAGACGAAAGATTGCACTTGAAGAAAAAAATTAAAACGTTGCAGCAGAGCAAACGAAGGCTGACACAAAAGAAAATCACCGCTGAAGAAATTATTAGAGGCATCGAAGAACAAAAGCTTTTGTCAGAAGAGGGCTCCAAGATGTTCGATGCAGCATTTTCTCCTGACATACAACAGCTGCTTCACCGGGCACGGACAGAAAGTGGAGGTAAATACCCTCCAGAGCTGCGAACGTTTGCACTAACTTTACATTTCTACTCACCAGCAGCCTACGAATTTGTGCGATCAAAGTTTAATGACGCCCTCCCTTCGCAGCGCACAATCAGAGAATGGTATAGGTCTGTTGATGGCCAACCAGGCTTTACAGGTGAAGCATTTTCTTTCTTGGAGAAGTTGGTTCAAGGTCGCTCTGAAACTCTTTACTGCGCTCTGATTGTCGATGATATGTCGATTAGGAAACATGTTGAACTTGTCGGAGACAGGGTAGTTGGCTACGTTGATTTTGGAGCATCTCTTGATGATGACAGCCTTCCTGAAGCCACAAATGTTTGTGTTTATATTGTTGTTGGCATAAACATGAGGCTGAAAATTCCAGTCGGCTACTTTCTTATCCACTCGCTCACTGGTTCTGAGAGGGCTGAACTAACAAAACAATGCATTGAACGACTGGAATCTGTGAAAGTTCAAGTTGTCAGTCTAACATTTGATGGTGCGTCATCAAATTTCACTATGGCAAAATGCCTTGGTGCAGAACTGAAGCCTGATCCTGTCGAGTTCTCCACATCCTTTAAAAACCCAGTTGATGAGTCAAGGGATGTGCATATCCTGCTTGACCCATGCCACATGATTAAGTTGATTAGAAATTCACTGGCAACAATGTGTTACATCACTGATGTTGATGGAAACCACATAAAATGGGCTTACATAAAGGCACTGGAGGCTTTACAGCGCGAGGAAGGGCTCCGCCTTGGCAATAAGCTAACTAAGGTGCATATGCAGTGGGAGAAGCAAAAGATGAAGGTACGGCTCGCAGTTCAGGCACTCAGCGCTTCAGTCGCAGACGCTCTTGAATTTTGCGAGCAAACGCTGAAGCTGCCACAGTTTAGAGGTGCTAGTGCCACGGCAAAATTTGTGAGGGTATTTGATCATCTCTTCGATTTGCTAAACTCCAGAAATGCGTTTGCAAAATCATACAAAGCCCCCCTTCGAAAGCAAAATGAGCCTTGTTGGAAACCATTTTTTGCCGACGCTCGAGAGTACATATGTGCTTTAAAAGACCCATTCGGTCGACCACTTTTGCAGGGAACAAAGAGGACAGGATTTGTGGGTTTTCTTGTGTGTATACAGAGCACAGAAAGTATCTTCAAGGAACTCGTTCATGAAGGTCAACTTAACTATCTGCTCACGCACAAGATGAGTCAAGATCACGCAGAAACTTTCTTTGGCTGTGTGCGAGGACGTGGGGGTTCAACAACAACCCTACAGCTGCCCAATTCATGGCAGCTTACAAGCGTCTATTGGTCCAGACAGAAGTGAGATCGTCCACCTCAGGCAACTGTTCGCAAGATATTGTTTCTATTCTGGGTGCATCTGCCTCTGCCACTACATTTTGTGCAACCACTGAGGTCACATCGCGAAGGTGTGCCATCCTACAACCAGAGGACCACGATTACACAGACCGAATTGACTATCCAGAGAGCCTCTCCACATTCCTTTGCTCTGTCGTGCCTTACATTGCAGGCTTTGTCGCTCGCAAAATCGCTACTACAAACACCTGTGAGTTGTGCATAGAAGCTCTTCATGGAGCGGATACATCTCTATTGGTGAGACAAAAAAATCGAGGTGGACTCTTTTACCCTTCCGAAGACGTTGTGTCACTGTGCGAAACAGCGGAAAAGGGGCTGCGTCGACTGCAGGCTTCCACTCAATGCCTTAAGAACATACATGCCAATACCAAACAACTAGTCCTGGAGATTTTGAGTCAATCACTGGAAAAGAGGTGGTTTTCACAATTGGAACAACATCTTTTTGACGTCGACGTGTTGGACAACCATATTTACAACTTGAGCAAGCAAGTATTGGAGCTGTACATCAAGATCAGGCTGCACCACATGACAAAGGAACGAAGCCGGGAACTCGTGAAAGACAAAGTTAGGTCTTTGCTTTCAAGACTCGTCATTTTTAGGAATCAGTGAAACAACTTTGCCATAACGTTCATGTTGGCTAAAGGCTGAGAAAGCTGTACAAATAAAATTTTAACACATGAAAAACGAACCGTTCTGTAGTCTCTTTAAATACTGCCAGTGTATCGGCGACTATGTGAGCACGTTTTTACTTCTCTAGCAGCAATCATTTGCGAAAAAAAAACGGCCGCGGAAGTGCACTATATGCTACGCGGCCGCCTTCCTGCCCACCACAAGATGGCCGCCGCCGGCTTCACTGTGCTCTATGGGTAAGTATAGGCGGCTTCCACTCCAGCAATTTTTTTATATATATCCTCCTAGGTTATGAGCACAGTTAAGCCTTGTCTTACTCACCAAATACTCAACCGTCGTTTCTATGAGGCAAGCAGCGACATTCTCAGGTATCTGCAAACAAAAAAAGAAAAGCAAGTGAAGTCGCGATATAAGCCGACATCCCAATGAGATCTGGCTTGGTGGGCGACCGATGGCGGCGCTGCGAACCGCGCTTGTATAAGGTCCCTAGATGATCATCTAGGGACCTTACGCTTGTATGATGTCAGTTCGAAAATTCGCGCGCTTTTTCTCGGAGCCGTATAGAAACCACGGTCGCGGTGAAACTCGGCAAAAACGGTGCTCGGTTGATTATCTTGTGTGTGATGGCTCTACCGACGCTGTTCTAACAACCGTGGGTGTCCGCTTTTAACGCTCATTTTAAAAGCACAGCGCTTTGGGTTTTTTTTTTTGTTTTTTTTTTAACTGCGGCCGCTTGTCTCCGCGGCGAGTGTGCGCAATGGTGGAATACTGCTCTGTGCTTCTGAACGATCACCCACCTGTGAAAACGGCGTTAGCCTTCACAGCTATCTTAAGGACCCGAAGCTTAGGAAAAAGTGGTAGTCAGAGAGGGAGAGCGCCCCATGCCTTCATCGACCACGTGCAGCAAGCACTTCGCTGACGGTTACTCTTGCTATATACCAGCCCTACACAGACTCCACTTTTTGGTAAGCATGCAACCGTATTCCAGCGCCTCGCCAGTACTTCAGCCATTCACTGCACGCAGGCTACAGGCGTGGTCGACTTACACCAGGTGAGGTGCTGTCCCAAAACCTATGGCGAAGGCTCAGGGAGCCCACGACGCGGCCTCCCAATCGCCTCGTGAGCGCAGCTGAGCGTTGAAGGACATCTGAGACTACAGCTTTATTTTGTTGGTGTACGTACATATTGCCATTTCAAGTTTCTTCTTTACACTTACGTTTCGTCGGTTTTCGCCCACAAAGTCAGGCTGTCTGGAATGTTTAGTGCCGACGGCGCCTCATTGTTATAGAAGGTGCACGGTAATTGTAGATCGCTTTGCCAAGATTACGCCAACTTCGTGAACATCGACAGATTATTCTGGAACCTATGTCGCTGCTAGCGATAACGCTAGAATGTCCGATGGTGAGTGTATAAATGCCGATCGGCGCTTGTCAATTGATCGACGGCCGACGCTCTGCTCGCCGCTATCATTGCCAGTGTGTTGCTGTAATCTGACTTCTCTTTGTCGTGGTCACAGTTTCGGCCGAATGAACAGTTTAACCTGAACACTAAGTCGGCTCCCTTCGTCTGCCTCACGACCCCGTGACAATATACAGGTTGTCCCAGGTAACTTTAGCCAGAGTTTAGAAATTTGCCGGCACACGCAATTACGACGCCACCAAATGCGTGTTGCTCATCGTTGCCTGGAGTTAGTAAGACTATTTTTTTGTGTTCTCAAATATCGTTTAATTATGTGTGTTTAATTAACTAACTTTTCGAAGAACGAAGATGGATAAAAAATTTCAACGAGTAAGTTGTAGGTCGGGTTTCAAAACGTCCGAATAGATAGTTTTGAACTTTATATCTGTCAAGTATTGTGTTTTTCTGCTGATTACAAATACCCGTGAAATGCGAAAAAATACCACGTGACAAACACGCTCGCGCGTCAGTGCGCACGATGATTCTAGTGCTCTGTAACGTCCCGCGTACGAACGACACGCTTCCCTCGCAGCGGTTCATGACAGCGATAAGCAGTCACAGTGGTTATCGTTTTTGTGGCCGATAACAAAACGTGTTCATCGTAAAGCCGCAACCATCGTTGCGGCCCTGCCGAGACAACACAATGGGGTAAATGATATATGTCGTGTGTTCAGAAGAAGAGGTTAACGATTTAGAGTACTCGGTACTCTGCTGTGGGAGAGCTGAAAGTCGTCCATTGGAAAAGAAAGATGGAGTTTGTGTATGAGAGAGAGAAGTAAACGTTTATTTTGAAACAGTGCTCCGAGCAAAGCCCGGTGTCACCCTGAGGTGGGAGGGCTCCTTAGTCCAGGAACCCTCTGGCTTCTACTGCTTTCTTGGCCCTGGCGACGAGTTGTTGTTGCTCTTCCAGGTCCTCGAGGGCGAGCTTCGCCTCCCACGTTTCGGTTAGGTCTTCGGTCGTCCATCCTGCTTCGTTATCAGTCGTGTGTTGTTGCAGATCACGTCTGGCAATACACTGGCATGCGAGAAGCAAGTGCGCCAGGGTGTCCGGTACGTTGCAAAGCGGGCACATAGAGCTATATCTCGTTGGGTAGAGACGGTGCATTAGGGCCCCATGTGTGTATGTGCTGCTTTGCAGGCGTCTCAGTATTACGCTTTCCTCTTTTGTCAGTTTTGGGTGTGGTGGAGGGTATACTCGTCGCTCCAGCCTGTAATGCTGGAGTAACGACGAGTAGGTGTTTTGAACAACTTCCGTCTCTTCAACGACGGGTCGAATGTCCTGTGGGCAGGGGGCAGCCCGGCTGACGTGCTCGCGGGCAGCGGCGTGGGCCGCTTCATTTCCCTGCAGACCCTCGTGTCCTGGCACCCATAATACACAAGTGTATGGGAGTGGAGTGCTTCGCCGTTTCAAAATATTGATGGCATTGGCTGAGATACGGCCCTTAGCGAAATTCCTGCAGGCGGCTTGTGAGTCGGTGAAAATCACCGCGGCGTCTGTACATGTTGTGGTTGCTAGAGCTATTGCCAATTCTTCTGCGGCGTCTGAATTGAGTGCGTTGACCGTGGCTGACGCTAATTCTCGGCCTTGAGAATCGACGACGCTGACAGCGTACGCGTTTCTATGCGGATACTCGGCTGCATCAGTGTAGCGGGCGTCCGGGTCTTGCTTGAACTTTCGTCGAATAGCGTTAGCTCTAGCCTTGCGTCTACTTTTGTAGGATACATGTTGCGTGGAATAGGTGCGATGGACAGCGACTCTCTAATGTACAGCGGGATGCGCTTTTTCCGGTCTGCTTCGGCGATGAACGTGTCGCTGTAGTTGAGGTGCCGGAGCACCGACCTCCCCGTGGGCGTCAGCTTGAGCCTCTCCAGCTGACTATTTCTATGCGCTTCAATGAGCTCTTGCCACGTGTTGTGGACGCCCATCTTTAGGAGACGTGTGGTAGAGGCCATTGGCGGAAGTCCCAGGGCTACTTTAGTGGCCTTTCTTATCATGATATTAAGTTTTTCAATTTCAGCAGTTTTCAAATTTAGGTACGGCGTGCCGTACGTAATGCGGCTGGTGAACAGAGCTTGCATTATACGTAGCGTGTCGTGCTCTTTGAGTCCGTTTCGCTGATTCGCGATCCTCTTGACGAGGTGCGTGAGTTGTGATAGTGTCCGTTGGAGTCTCGGTGTGGAGGCAGCTCCCGATCCATCCTTGTAGATGTGAACTCCAAGCACTCGCAGGGTCTCGACTTTTGGAATTAAGGCCCCTTTCAGCGTTACGCTAGGGTCGGGCTCGTCGTATAGTGGGGGTCTGCCTCTTGTTCTCGCTTTGAGGACGAGGTGATCGGATTTCTCGGGGGCACAGCAGAGACCGCAGTCTCTGAGATACCGTTCGATGGCATCTACGGTGGTTTGTAGGCAGGTCTCTTGTCTCCCAGTGTTCGAAGCCCTGGTCCAGAGCGTGATGTCATCAGCGTAGATCGCGTGCCGTAAATCAGGTATTTTGTCGAGAATTTTTGGCAGATTGATCATAGCCACATTGAAAAGTAACGGCGAGATGACCGAACCCTGCGGCATTCCTTTTTTCGGTAGTTGGAAGCTTTTGCTGCGGATGTTGCATATGCCCACAGTTGCTGTACGGTCTGTCAGGAAGTTTCTGGCATACGTATAGATTCTAATGCCGCAGCCAACGCCTTCGAGGTTGTTGAGGATCGCGTCGTGGCTGACGTTATCGAAGGCCCCCTTGACGTCAACTCCGACTATGGAGTACTTTCTTCGATGGGTTAGGTGATCAAGGAGGTCTTCTTAGTAAGAGCACGTCGTACGTCGAAAGATGCTGCCTGAAGCCAAACATGGTGTCCGGTAGGTGTCCACTATATTCCAGGTACTGGGTTAAGCGGTCGTGCACCATGTGTTCGAACAGCTTTCCCACGCACGAGGTGAGAGAAATCGGGCGTTGGTTCTCGATGCCGACTGGTTTGTTAGGCTTAGGGATCATGGTGATTTCCGAGTGCTTTTATGCCGCAGGTAGCTCTCCTTTATCCCAGCAGTCGTTGTAATAACGGAGAAGAGCCGTGGTGGCCTGGTGCGGTAGGTTGCGTAAGTGCTTGTTGACAATCCTGTCCATTCCGGGGCTGGTATTTCTTGTCAGCTTCGTTAGGGCTGTGTGCAGCTCAGCCAGGCTGAAGGGCCGGTCGAGTTCAGTGTTTGGTACGCCAGCGTATTCTTTGGTGTGAATTGAAGCCCTATTGGGTGCATCGCCACAGAGCTTCTTTTGTAATTCTTCTAGGAGGTGTTCTTCTGTACCGGCGTAATTTCGAATAAGCCTCTAAAGGTGCTGCTTCTGTGCTGTTTTGGAGGGTTGCGTGGCTAGAAGTGTGCGTAGCAGATGCCAGGTTTTCTTGGTGCTCAGAGTCCCCTGCAGCTTGTCACAGAAAGCATGCCAGTTCTGCCTGGCCAATCGGTTCGCATAATCTTGAGCTTGCTCGGTGAGGAGTGAAATGCGTTTCCGTAACTTTCTGTTTCGTTTTGTCGCTTCCACCGTTTTAGAAGTCCTCTTCTAGCCTCCCAAAGGTGGAGGAGATGTGCGTCGACGGCGGGTGTATCAACGTCAAGCTGTATGTCCTTAGTGTAGCGTTCGGCTATTTTGAGCACATTCTTGAACCAGTCTTCAATGTCGATTATGATGGTTTCAACGTCGAGGTCATTCCTAAAGGATTGCCATTCCGTTAACCGCGATATTCCAGTCTTGGTCTGTTTACGAGTATGCGCTACGGAGAGTTGGATGATGTGATGATCACTACCTAAAGTTTCCGGTAGCACACTCCACTCTGCCCTAGTGACGTTCGCCGTAAATGTAAGATCTGGATTTGTATCCCTGGAGACGCTGTTCCCGATTCTCGTCTTCTGAAAAGGGTCGTTCCACAGGGTTAGTCTGTGATGTTGAGCAGTATCGTGCACCCTAGAACCCTTCCTCGTGGTGATATGATAGCCCCATGCCGTGTGAGAGGCGTTAAAGTCTCCCATTATTATGATCTGGTGGCCTTTCGTGCGCTTCCTGATTTCTCGTATGAAGTGATCAAAGTCTGGTAGTTGGTCTCGTGGGGGGCTGTATATATTGGTTATGAAAAGACTTTGCTGCGTCTTTCGTTCCGGCAGAATCTCTATTAGGGTATGCTCTATTTGAGTGTCCTCGATTTCGTGTTTTTCCGTTGAAAGTGCTTTCTTAACAAGCATGGCAGTTCGTTGGGTTTGTGCGCAGGTCGTGTAGCCTTGCAGTCATACGTTCTGCGTGTTGGTTTCCTGAAGTGCAATGATGTCTGGTTGGTTAAGCTTGATGAATTCTTGTAGGCTTGCGTGTCGAGGGCGGTATGACCGACAGTTCCATTGCCATATGCTAAAGTTGAATGCTTGTTCTTATACTTATGGTTAGGGACTGCCATCTTCAACCGATTTGATGTCACGCCTGCCATCGCGACTCGGCGAGACTGAGCGAGAGGCATTGTGACTAATCGCTCGTGCCTTCTTCCGAGTCATTTGGCGTGGGTTGTTCAAGCTGTCGAACTGTGCCATGGTTACGTAAGTTTTCTTCCCGTGCGCGATGAAATTGTTGACTTGCGCAGCAATCCCATCAATTTTGGCATTAAGCGTAGTGATCTTGTGTTAAACATTGAGGCTGTTTTTTTTATTGCAGACTCAACAATCTTTTCCATCGTGGCGTGCATGTTATTCATGAAAGATTCTTCGAATATCGTGCACCTTGCGTTCACTAGGGCTTGGACGCCTACCTTGGTCAGCGTCGTTGACGGCTCTGTGCTTGAGTTTGCTTGTTCTTGATATTGTTGTTCTGCATTGTCCGAATGTCCTTGCTGATGCGTGCACTTTTCAAGTAGTTTGTCAATGAGCTCTTGTTGTCGTTTTTGACTCTGAAGCAGTTTATTTATGAGACTTTGTTGGCTTTGCAGTTGGCTGTGCTGATTCTGGAGCTTTTCTTGCTGGTTTTTCAGTCTATCTTCGAGACCCTGTATGCATGAGGTGTCTGACTTCGAGGAGGTTAAGCTGCTGCGGTCATTAGATTCACTTGCCATGGCAGCGTAGCTTGCACGTTTAACGGAACGCGAGCGCGTGCGAGAGCGGAAGCGCGAACTCGAACGCAATTTTGACTTGGAACTGCTGCGCGTGGAGACGCGGCCCTCATTGTTACTATTAGAGGTAGTGGCCGATATGCTAACCTCAGCGAACTCTTCTCCGCTGGCGTTCCAGTTGTTGTCTATTTCTTGAAGCCTGTTGAGGCGCTTTTGTCTTACGTTGAAGGGTGGTGGACTTGGCTTTAGTCTCCTTTTGCATTCTTTACTTGCTGTTTCGTGTCCTTCCCCGCAGATCTTGCAGATGGGTGCGCATTCATGTTCCTGCGTTTGTCCGGCCTTGCCACATTTATAGCAGAAATCCGGGATAGGTTTCGGACAGACGTCCTGGCGGTGACCCGTATTGCCACAAGCTCGGCAATACTGCACTGACTTACGATATGGTCTGCAGCGGAAGTCTACGCTCTCGAAAATTATGTAGTAGGGAACGTGCGATGCTTCAAAGAAGACGACTGCCGCGGTCGATTGACCTAGCATTCGGGCATGAAGAACTGTGTATCTTGCCGGTGCGCGAATTCCAGCCAAGAGTTCTGCGGTGCTCGTACCGGGTATCAAGCCACTGATGACGCCTCTGGAGACATCGTCCGGTGTTCTGATGTTGCCGTTCACAGTGTAAAAATTTCCTCCAAGCTGTATTTTCTGGATGCTTACCAGCTTCTTGGCGTCTTCTTTGGCGGCGGTGCTTGCGATGATTAGGTTTTCCATTCTCTGGACTTGTACGCGTACCTTGTTGTTAAAGTCTTGCTGGGATAGTCCACTCACTCTGCCGATGGCATGCGTGACAGCGACGGTGTTCCATTTGGCGAGGTCAAGACCTGCTTGCGAGCGGTAGACGATCTTGAAGTCATCGAGCGGCAGAGGTGGCATCTTGGGCCTGCGTTGTTGCTGCGTTGGTGATGACTTTAGCGTCTGCTCATTGATAGGTGGCGGCTCTGTGGGTTGGTTGGCCGGTGACCTTGGATTGGCGACAGCCTTCTTGTCTTTCTTATTTCTCGTGATCCAAGCGCTTTCCGTTGCAATTGTTCTTCCACTGCCAGCGTCTTAGGTCCACGAATTTTCTGTTGTTTTGTTTGCCTCCACTGGGTCAGTTTGCATTGTATTTTCTTCGTCTTGCTGATTTCTTTGCATTTCGATTGCTGCGGCTGCGTCTCTGCTCATTCTAAGCTTTTCGCCACGGTGAGCGCGAGCGCTCGTGCCATGCCGTCAGGAACGCCTGAGCGCGTTGTGCACGCGCCGCGCGGCTTTGCTCAGGAACGAACTTGGCGTTAGGCTTAATAAACTGGACGCGCGCTTGTCGGGAATTAAGTCTTAAATCTTGAGACAGGATGCACTCACCCAAAAGAAGCTGGTGTCCGCCGATTCCTCGTGTCTTGGTGGCTGAGGCTGTGAGACTCTTGGGTTCGTCACTGGCCTTGTTTCGGGTTAAAAAGCACGAAAAGCAGGAGCCCATGCGAGACGCGTCTGGTCTATACGGCCCCCTAGCGGTGCTCCTCCGAGTTTGTGTGTGTTTTGAAAAAGTTGTTACTTGATTCCCCTTTGGCACCAAAGTGGCCAAACGATACCTCAAACAGCCAACCCCATTCGCAGCTTCCACCTATATTGCTCAAGTTTCAGCGTTCATGCTTGTGTGATTGTCAATTAAAAAGCAATTATTGCGCATATCTGGGGCACCATAACACCATGTTGATGTTTTTTATGTGTGCCTTCATACTAGAGAAAGCTTACATAAGTAATTCTAAGAACCGTAGCGTTTATGACGCGGCGCTAACAGTGCAACGCTATGCTCAAAAAAAAATTGCCCGCAGCTTCCCTCGGGGGAACACTGAGGAGGATGCGGAGCATATAATTGGTTAACGGGGTGTTAAAGTGCGACTTACTTGGGTCGATGGCTAAATTGGTTAACGTGGTTGTGAAATGGAGTGTTAAATTGCGACTTACTTGGGTCGATGGCTAAATTGGTTAACGTGGTTGTAGGAGGGGGTGTTAAATGAGTGAACACGTACACACGTATGCGAAAGGGCGGCGCTGGTCGAAGGGACGTCGATCATTGTGTTTGTGGATTCGTTGGAATTCATTTCACCGCGACCTTGGACGTCGACGCGCCGTACAAACCAACCGACGAGCGGCAACTGAGCGAGCGAGCGCCGACCTTGAGTATATATACAGCTCGACGGCGCATGCACTGTCAGCTGTTGAATGTTCTCGAAGCGCGACGCCACATGCGCGTCCACTGGAGAATCAGGAGAATTGTAGATGTCGAACGCGGTGTGTAGAGGAGGAAGGGTGCACAGATGGTGGAGGAGTGAAGCACGCGCGGTGTGTAGAGGAGGAAGGGATGCACAGATGGTGGAAGAGTGGGCGACGGCGCGACGGCGCATGCGCGCGCGTCAGCTGTCGAATGTTCGAGAAGCGGTGCGGACGGCGCACTACAAGGCGCGAGTATAAGATGCTCCGCATCTAAAAAGGCAAGTGTTCCCAACGCTTTGCTAAGACGACATGGTGGTGGCACCTGCCCGTCGCTTTCCGTTCTACTCCATATCGCCTCCGAGACAGGCACGCATCTTTCTCGGTGGGCGCGCACGCCTTCTTTCGTTTTCGAAGGTAACGGCCAGATGGCGCTCGTGTCTAACGTGACGTGCCTCGATGCGCTCACTAGCCCTCGCAGCACGAATTCACTGATTTTCTCGCGCAGAACATAAAATAAACGTTTTGTCCACTCTCTCCACACGCCAGACTATCGTCTTTTGACGACATTTGCAGTGAAACATGCAAGTATTAGGTCAATGTTTTTTAGAGTTGTACTCTTCTCATTCTTTCTCTCGTTACTTAAGTGCGTTTTAGCAATCCAGTTAGTTTTATGACGAATGCATGTATTCTTTTCATCCCTGAGGAGCTTTAATTAACCGGACATATCCGATGAAGGCTTTCTATAGCTTATAGTCAGCCTGGTAGTCGCATGCAGCATAGCATATATGATTTTGACTAATGCTACACATATGGTGAGAGACTCAACCTAACACTGAACATAAATGTATACATACCATAAATTTTAAGCTTCTGAGAAGCAGTACATTTTTTTTCCTACGCGAGAAATGAAAGAATTGCGAAAATCGTACATTCTTTGATTCTTGGAGACAGTTGTACCGACCATAAATGATCGAATTTTTTCCGTAATACCAGGTGGCATGAGCGAGTTTTTGCGCGTATATAATGAGAGCAGAACTCACCTCGTTGCACTTGTCGTAGGTTCTGCACACTCTCTGAATGGCCTGAGAGCAAGAAGAAGAGATGGGAAGGAAGGGATATTGCATTATCAAACTTCGGTACACAAGCAGAATTGAATGTTCCTGCTACGAGTAATTCAAACAAATGTAAGACTCATAAACGCTGATAAAGAATAACGTGTCTATGAATGAAGCCTTTTAGTGCTTTTACTTATGTGGCAGGCCTGTTTTTTCAGAGGGTGTTAAGTTTGGCCTGGAAATTTGTCTGGGAAGACGCCATTGTGCGTAAACCGGTCCACTGGAGAGGCTCTCTATCCCTTCGGCGCCCAGTCTGACAGACGCTGTCGAAGAAGCGGTGACTAATGGCCTCGGCGACTCATCGGGCGACGGGGAGGCTGGCATGACAGGCGCCAGAGCTGACGGCGGAGCGGTGCTTCTTTAATCCTCAGTCAAGTAGCCGACCGGCCGACTGCTTATGCCCGCCAGGCATTGTCCCTGCTGGCCGGGGGATGAGACGTCCTGTCGCCGCGACGCCACGACGAAAGAGGACAACAGGGACGGTGTCTTCGTGGAAGAGACCGCGGCGGCCACTGCAAATCACCCCGCCAATTAGGCGAGCTGTGCGGCAGACACTTTGATGTACGTTTTCCGGATCGTGGGAACTCTCGACTAGCGACACACACGACGAGGAAGAGCCCTGCTGGCGCCACCTTGCAGTGCAGTGTTCACGTGGACCGTGCATGCTCGTCCCTCTCACCTGCGTGTGTGTGATTGGTGTTCCACTCGGAGAGGAGGAGCCCGACAGGGCTTAAAACGACGCCGCAGAGTGCTGGACGTCGCTCTGAACTATGTAACGTTCAACCACCACGCTCGTGGTTTGTGAAACCACTATCTCTTCTTTTCTGTAAGTATGTGTAAATAGTACCATAAACCTGTTTTGTTCTAGTATCCTCCAGCGTCCTTCCTTCCGACCCTTTACAAGGGTCTTGTTACGCTTGTTCAACAAAGTTAGAAAAACACTTTTGGTCAAGCTTCTTGCAGTGGGAACATGCGAATCAAGGTATATACTGTTTCGTTGCAAGCGGCACGGAATTCGCAATTTCGTGTCAAAGACAACAAGAAATAGCTAGCTATTTCTGCCCTATTCTTTGGCGAATGTCGTCATCAGCTACGTAGCATACGGGACGGGAGCGTATGATATTGGCCGATTTCCTGGAAGCGAGCTCGGAAGGAACGCACTACATCGTCTTGGTACCACCTTACGCAGCCAAAAGGGTGCCGTCATGTCACAGTTTCACTGACAGCGGTCGATGTGTTGAAGGAGCCCTGCAATACTTTTCCAATTAATGGTAAAATGACTTCGCTAAAGGGTTTTATGCCTCACGGATCGACCACCGCAATTTTTATATATATAATCCGTCAGGTATAAGCAGCGTGACAGCGGTTTGTTGCACGCTGTGATTGTTTCCTCTCTTCTATCGCCCCGACGAACACGTTGGAACCTGACAGGGAGGGATAGCACGTGAGTGAAAAGTTAATAACGAGGGAGTAATGAAGATAAGCAGGGATGGCACGGGAATAGCAAGGCGAAAGTGGTTCTTTCTGCAGGCGTCTAAAGCAAACACAGAATGACGTCACCAAGGGTCACACAGTTACTAATGCACTCGCGGAGCATGTCGAGAAGACGGGCCACGAGATAAACTGGGACAACGCACACATCATTGCTGCGGAGAAGAATTTCACAACCAGACACAACCTCGTATCACCAATCATTCAGAGAACGATTAACGCAATCAAATAGATAATCTGCCACGCTAAACCACGAGTACTCCCGGACTGCACCGTGCGCTCAACGCTACAAAAGACCCTGTTGCTCGGCCGTCATTCCATTGTGATTAAGGGGCATGGATCCCATAACGTCATTCTTTATTTATGTTGACATTGGTCAGTGACCTGTTTTTTTTTTCTGCAGTGCCTTTACTTGACCAGATGTTATTACGTCAAACTCTCAGCTACTTCAATGAGCGTAAAACTGTGCGCTCGTGAAACGAACCTTTTTACTTGATTACGACTGCATTAGTATACAAACAAAATCAGTCTTTTCTTAGAAAGTAATAATAGTTTATTGAAGTTAGTAGCCAGTGGCTTACGTGAGAAATTACATTTCTTAGCTAACAGAAAGCTCACATAATACGCAATGTCCCTTATTTACCGGTGCTGAAAAGCGCTGCGTGGGTGCTCGTGCAAATAAATTTGTTTATCTTATCTTTACTTTCTCTTATCTCTTACTTTCTTTTTTTCTTCTTTTTCAGTGCACATTTGATCTCACACGTGCGCCAACTCTGACAAGGAGACCCACTTTAATAACAATGACAAACGAGTGCGCTCTTGCTATTCAGTTTGCTCTGGTGAACTTGGCACGCAGCATTGCGGGTCGCAGACATGCACATGTCAGCACTCGCCAAACCCGTGACAACACTCTTTCTTTTTGTGTGGCGTGCGGGGTTTCCTTTTAGTTTGCGCCGCCGTGCCCGGACCCTAGCTGGCAAACGGCCGTCTTCACCGGTCAAGGCCGTTGCGTATGACGAAGAAGGGTCGAGCCCATAAGCCGCGCCTTTGCCTAAGCCGTCTCGGTCGTCCGGCCCTAATTTTGCTTAATTCGACCTTCGCAGTGGCTTGGGATATTGCGCAGCGCAGCTCCGAGTCAACAACGCGCGGAGAACGCCGACCCCGCGTCTCGTTTCTCGAAAACATTCCCAGAGTGTATTTGTTGCATAGCTGCTTGTCGGTCGGTGTGTACAGTGCGTGGCGCTTATGCAAAACAGTGCCTTCGCTCCACTGCTTCGCAAGACAGATGCACGTTAATCTAGTGGGTTTTCTGAACTCCTTTTCTGAGAAGAACCGCCGCACGTCTTTTTGTCGTGGTGCTATCTTATATACAAGGTCGGAGGAACTGTGTATTCATTTTCGTACAGCTTTATCGATCTGTATACTCCTATACATGCAGCTCATCAGGTAATTATCGCTTCTGAGTTGCAGTTCGGCGTACCAGACAACGCTCACGTGATAATCTCTGATATTAGCATGCGCGTAGCCGGGGGGGGGGGGGGGGACGTTCAAACGTTTTGAAAATTTTTGAATATTGATTGTGCGTATAAAGTAGGGATGGGGTAAAATGAGACACAAGGCAAAACGCGACATTTTGGCTTCGCCGTGCTTTGTAGCTAATACAAAAACAACTTGTTTTGTTTCTATTTTCCAGCAATAAGTGTTGGTCCTTGTCTACCTTTTCATGTGTAAAAGTTGATGATCGCTCACAGCGTTCGCACGGGAAAAATTCGCACGGCTTGTGTCAGTGTGTTCGTGACCCGCCAAAAAGGGGGCCAAATTCTGCTCGGCCAAATATTTGCATCCGTGCATGAAGCAACTCCTATGTCAGTAAAGCAATGTAAATATTTATATTGTTACTTCAGACTACAAGCTACCTAACACCAAATGTTTAGTTCGCTTTGGCGCCCGGAGACAAAGCAGTTTTTTTTTAATTCTGGCATGTGAGAGGGATACAACGCAGCAAAAAGGCATCCAATTGCCTAAAAAAGAATATTAATTATTGACCTATTTACTTGCACTCATTATATGCTACATTTATTTGTTTAGGGTAGTTTGGACATACAATAGAATATAATAAAGAGATTCCTGGAAGTAAAACGATATGAAAAAGCACCGACTGCCGTTCAAGACATGACTCCCTACATCCGCGCTGCATTGAGGTGTTTCCGTGTTCCCAAGGATGCGCTCAAGAGACGCATAAAAAGGAAAGGTGGAATCTCTTGACCATATCCTACGGGAATGTCCAGCATTAGTCAGAAATTCTGGGGTCGCGGCCTCCAATGAAGACCTTCGGGCGCGTTGGCGGACTGCGCCGCTCAGTTAGGGCCTGGACAAAGAACTTTGGCCAATCCAGCAGGCCAAGGAAGCTGTCGGGAGACACGGTCTCTCCGTTGGCCCCTAGGTTGGAGCCCATCCCAGCAATATGCCGGAAATTAATAGTCTACATTTTCTCTCTCTCTCTCTCTCTCTCTCTCTCTCTGAGTCAGGTCATTCACAAATACGTCTTACGATTGAGTTTTGACGACGTTTCTCCAATACCCCAAATATAAAAAAAGCGCTCAGAAAATATGATTCTGGCACAGTTTGAAATTGATTCCCTCAGAAATCCGGGGGGACACGAAGTTAAAAACCATAACATGCCTGAGCAGTTCTGCATCAACTTGAATGACAAAAAGAGGGAAAGAAGATGCGTCAAAACATCTCTAGCATCATTGTTTGATATGAGAGTGCACTACGTAGACGCAGACAGGAGAGACAGGGACAAGCGCTTGTCCCTGTCTATTTTGACCGTATCTACGTATTGCGCTCTCATTTCAACCAATCATGTATCACCAAGCTCGCCCAATCAAGCACATATCTCTAGCATCGAATTGTTCAATAATCCAATTAGGTGCAAGCGTTTAACAAAAGACAACATCAGCACAAAGAAAGACTGGTGGTGTTTGACGAGGATGGAGTTTCGGAGCAACACAACACCCCGTTCTGTCTCGATACAATGCGTGGGGTCCGTGGACTAGACTCCTTGAGACTGCGTAAGGGCCGACAGAGTGAATTTCAAGCCTTTTCACTGCAAAAACTAAAGGAATGAATTTTTTTTTTACATGCGGAGCATGTTATACTAGGGGCTAGTGATGCACCGTCGCCGTCCGCAGCCTCCCCTCCTCCTCCGCCATCCATCTGTGCATTCCTTCCTCCTCTCAACACAGCGCGCGCTGCGCTCGCTTCTCCCCTCCGCGCGCTCAACAACGCGCCAACGGCGAGCACTGCGTCGCTAGCGTCTGCGGAGTCGACGTCATGGCGATGTACCTCGCGCCCAAGCTATCGCGTGCCGCCTTGGAGACGTACGTCGACGAAGCCGCGGAAGAATACCTGAAACAATGACCGCAACAATGACCCTTCGTGATAGTCGGCGACTTCAACGTCGACGTCTTCAAGGACGATTGGGTGGTCGACTACATGGAGTCGGAGTACTCGCTGAAACGAGCAACGCACGACGGCAAACATCATCTGACCACGGTTCGCGGGACGTGCATCGACCACGTCTTTGCCAATATCGACCTTCGACCGCTGCAACCAGACCCACTCACCCTTCACTTTACGGACCATAAAGCCATCTTGCTCAAAATACCCAAAGCGTCTCATCAATAAACATCGTCTTTCGCAGCATACGTGCGTGCGCGTTCACTCGTGTTCACTCATAACACACACGCATGTCGCAAATTACAAACCACATTTATCGCAGTTCAACATATATGCTGCCGCAGGCTAACCAGTGTTCCCACTCGGGAAACCGGTCATTTTTTTCACACTGCCTCGTTTTGCCCCACGCAATGTCTAGTTTTGCCCGTATAGGTTAAAGCAAAATGAGATTTCTGGAGCATTTTTATTTATTTAAAAATAATATACTTTATAGGTGGCAACTTGGAAATATTTATGCAGCACATACCTCGCACCTAAAGGAAAGTTTCTGCATTGATGTTTAATTCTAAAAAGTGATAATAAGAATAAGTAATCACTATTTTATTATCTTTGTCGCACTTTATCCCGCCATATACATGCTCTCATACAAACGCACGCGCGAATATACATAAAGCATAGTTGAACCCGCCCCTTCCCCCAGAAAAAAAAAAAACGTTTCTGGCTACGGTGCTGCAAATTAGTGTATAACTTGAATATGATTGAAAGGAAGTTCAGCTTGTCTATAATTAACTAAATAAACGTTATGCGTAAAAACAGCACTTAGTAGTTCGTTAATTAAATATGATACGTCTAGTCTTCCTTGAGTTTCCCCTCTTGCGCTTGTTTACTTATCGTTTTATTGCTAAATTCAGCGGCCTCTTTCCATGTCGTAACCGCCTTGCTATTCACTAAAACACTTGGCGCAGTTTAATGTATTACTATAAGTCGTTCTCGTTGTTTTGTTTGTCCACAAATACAGTATAACAGATCAACGAATTTATTTGGTGCTCAGTTCCCCATGCCTTGAGCATTGACCAGTTACAATTCAGTGATTTTACACACATCTTCACATCGTAATAAATCAGTTCACGAATATACGTCACCGGCAACTTTCGTATACATTACGGCACTGATTGCGTGCGGACCTAAGAAACATTTCGGTTCTCTGTACCGCGTACATTTATGTAATCAATAGCGTAGTATTTTGTGAAACATCTGATATACGGTCGCAACGTGAGTGCCCGTCAAGCGTGCATGACTGTCTAGCATTTTCGTGTGCTCCGTGTAGTAGTAGCCAGCGAATGGCAAGCACACCAAACTCGTGCCCCCCCTCACCCCCCCCCCCTCTGCCCAAATTTTTTTCGCAATGTCATACAGAGCGAAAAATGAATATTGCAAGGAGGTTCTTCCACTGAAATAAATGAAAAAGTGCCCCCCCCCCCCCCCCCCCGAAAATATTCTCTGCCTACGTCCCTGCGTGTGCTTACCTCCTCAATGATATTGCCATGAATGGGCATGTCGTAGAGGCCTTCTATGCAAGGCATGAACATGTCGGCAGCTTGCTTCAGAACAGACATCATCTGGCTGTCATCTGCACAGATGGGTAATTAACATTATTCAAGTATACGCGCATTTTTACCGAACTGCAGGCCTGCGGACAAAATGTTCAGTGACGAAATCCGTATAATATCGAACGTATATCTCAGCAACGACGATATACTCCTCCTGCATTGGTCTTTGCAGCGGCCGCATTTGCGGAAAGAGTGGGCTGCTAGCTATGAAAGCCGGATTAGGGTTTTGTCGAAGTTACAACTGTGACAGTTGTGTGTTCGCTCTCGTCCTGTGTATGCGTCCTGTTTGAGCAGCGCGCTGCTAGTGTCGAGCTGTGACAGCTGTTCGCGCTCGCCTTGTGTGGTTTCTTTTTGAGCGTCCTTTGCTTGAGCAGCGCGCAGCAAGTTTCAAGCTACTTGCCGTTCTTCCTGTGACATTCCGATTTCTCGCTATCGCATTCATTTTTCCGCACTTGCGACGAAACTGTTACTTTTTTTTTTCCCCTCGTGAGAACGTAGTCCTGAGCTGCCGCACTTGGGGCGCTATTTCATGTCGGGTACTGTAGATAAAGTATGCAGCTGCTATGGTGGTGCCCTATCAAACTATATTTGTAAGCTGATGTGCAGATTCGTCAGTGGAGCGATTTTTTGACGGGGTGTCTCTCTTCTTCCTCCGCGAGCACTCACACACGCGAACACGTTGTTTAACAACATTTTAAATCTGATACGTTCTCCTGTCCAGTTTTAGAGCAGCTTTGAAACACCATGCTTAATCTTCTCACGCCTTCTCGAATTCCTAAGACGCCGATTCCTTCACCAGGAGGTAAACAACCTAGTGACTCATGTGATACCACGAGGACGTTGAATTCAGGCGGAGCAATGAATACCGACCCGTTATCGACGAGCTAATCCCTCTGCAGGTACAGCACACCACGTTATACCCACACCACGTTACACCCAATGTGCACGTAGAGTTAAGAACATTACTAAAAAATAGCAATTTTGAAACAAATGTGTCGGTTCTCTCATGAGAAAATTAACCTCTACGTTAACAATATTTCATCAATGATATTAAACAAATATTTCGGTCGCTTGATTGCTGATTGGAATTTGGGTAGAAGTGAATGTGAGCCCTCGTAAGCAAGCATAACTCGTGTGTCTTATCTTGAAAGTAACTAAGCTGGAGGGGGAGTCTACTGGTCTACAAGGCTGCCTTTTCCCATCGGCTACAACCTTGTACCGTTGGCTAAGCCCTTGCACCATTGTCTATGTTCAGCAGTTCCCGTGCAGGGGCTAGGCCTCTGCACTTGAAGTCGAACCCAGAGCATGCACGCAGTACGAGGTCCATTCGCGCCTTTCACCCTCATTCAGAATGCAGCCGCGGCGGCCGCTAAATGAACTTTACTTCTTGTACACTATTCTCGGGCAAAGTTGTACTCGACTGTAATTCAATTTCGACAGAAAAGTTCATAGGCAACAAAGCTCAACAAGAACGCCACTTAAGTCACATGACGATGTTTCACACCGTAAAAGCGTATATCTCATCTTCCCCCACCCCGTACTCACCCTGTTCTTCCCGCCCGTTAATCGATGATACCGTGGGCATTGCAAAAACGACACAATTAAGCAGGCACACATGGTTATTAGAGTTTCTACTGATTCTTGTACGTCACGTAATGGTATCATGAATCTCACACGGTGCCGAATCAATTTTTTTTTCTTCCAGATTCAAGAGCTATCGGCGCTGATGTGCCGTGAGCTATTACTGAGTACGTTTCGAATGGCCGGGCTGTGATAGTTAGTAGAACGTCCACATTGCTATGCCATGTCACCTGGCGTGTTGCCAGCATCCCTCGCTGGCACCGTTGGCCCCGGGCAACAGCAGTGCGGCGGTAATGGCACCGACGATCACGACGTTCCTCGAGCCAAGCACCGTCTAGTAATCCCAGACTGACCATGACAGAGAGAAGAATGAACACGGCGCGTTTGGTTTTGGTTATCCCACTGTTACGCGTCCTCGCGACTGGCTGATAGTGTCGCGGACTGTCCACCAGGGTCCGTCTCGTCAGGTGACCTCACGAAGAGCGCGTTTGATTACTTCGCCGTTGAAGCTGTTCACTCCGCTTGTTTGCTTTGAAGCGATGTCCTTGAATGCGCGCATGCCAGCAGCAGCTGAGTATAGGCAGCTAAAGGAAGCGCGCGTATTTTGTGGGGCCGATCATCGCTCATGAAAAGCGATATTTTCAAACTCTTCGAAGCAGTCGCCCTCGGCGCGGTCGCCTGGCCTCATACATTAACTTGACAGGGGAGGGGGTGCTGCAATTAACTGCATTAGCGTGGGGGTTATAGTGCGTTAAGGAGACTAAACCCTGGCCGAAGAGAGAGAGATATTTTGCGCACAAACTTTCTCCGTCCGGTCGTTCAGCCCGGCTGGTTTTAGGTTCGTTTGTTCTTCTTAGTAAGATAGCGGTACTCATCCCGATACAAACCCAGAGGATGACTTTGTATACGTGCGTTCGACCTTGGAGCACTACCGAAGCCTATTATTAGGGGTGAAGCACGTTACGGTTCAGGCTTCTCCGTTGTGTGTTGTACCTTGTCCGGCACAGTACACGCAAGGCATACCCACTACACACGCACCGTAACTTTCGCGAAGTATAGGGAAGTACCCACTAAGTCACTATGTCAATCGTCATTCTGCTGATAAATGGAGTACCTATATACATCTGTAAGGCGTTGTGTGCACTTTGTGCTGTGGACGATGACTAAGTTTCGAATTCTAACAGTTAAAACGTTTCTTAACCTATGTGCCTCCCAACACAGACGCTCTCGATATGTATTCCTTTGTGAGCCGGCCACATTTGTTCAGTGTGAGTGGTCTAGGCTACATCGCCCTGAGATAATTTTCGCAGAAACGTTTTTGGACCCGATACAAGTAACATTTCGTAATATAATGTACCCAAACGGTCTTACGCCCACAGGGGCCTGGCCGTCGGAGGGATTTTCTTTTGGGCGGTGCAAAACAGTGTTACATCGTGGCTGGGGGAGGCGAAGAGTTCTAGTGTAGCTTATGTGACAGAAAGTTTAACGAGGCTTGAGAGGGTCAAGTGCCCCTTTTGCAGCCCCCTACCGACGCCCATGCACAGCGGTAACATAATTTGATGATATATTTCTAAAGAATGTTAAGCTCTTGATTGGTATGTGGATTTTAACGTCCCAAAACTACCATATGATCATGAAAGACGCCGTAGCGGAGGGCTGCGGAAGTTTCGACCACCTGGGGTTCTTCTGAGACCCAAATCTGAGAAGACGGGCATACAGCATTTCCTCCTCCATCGAAAATGGAGCTGCCGCAGCTGTGATTCGATCCCACGACCTGGGAATGTTAAGCTATTGCTGATTAAATATTTAAATGGGTTGTAAATAAACCTCCACTATTTTCTTATTACTTTGCAACAGTTCTTGCAATGAACGTAAACATGTTCAATTTGAATTCAATTCTTAGCCATTCACTCTGAAGCCCAACCGAGATCGAACACTTTTCGTTTAAACAGAGCAAGAAAACTTTTCCCTTGAAAGTTCTGCTCCTCAAGAATTTTCGCGCGACGCCTTTTCCCACACAGTGGGAATATTTAAGCTCGTGAATGTTGTGCTCAGTCAAACACATTTATAGCGAAACGGCGCAGAACAATCAGTATACTTCTTTAAAACATCAGCTCAGTTTGTCATAAAGCGCACTCACCATGGATGTAATGCTCGATGTATGACGAGGATGTGAGAAAACCTTTGTTACGCAGCTAAATTTGTTGCAAAGGCGTTCAAATGCACACGAAAGCCCAGTCATCATGAAGAGCGAACCCGCGTAAGTAAAAGAGGCTTTATTTTTCTCCGAGTACAGGCTGTTGGACAGGACAGACGAGAAGAAAGTGACACGGAATCTTCAGTGCTTGTGGTCGCCTATTCTATGGACACAGCGATTTGGTACCAGTGGATACACACGAAGAAGTTTTTGCGATTCGCAACTGGCACCGTAGGTCTCCGAAAGCTGCAGCCCTGCGAAGCAGATAGGAAAATAAAGTTTTTTTATTTGACAGCACACTTTTACTTCAGTTTATCAACATAGATGCCATAATAATTGACCCGATTCTTTCCCATGTGTGTGGGTGTTTGTCTATCGGAATTCCAAAGTGAATTAGCTGCTAATGTGAGCTAAATACGTCGAGCATGCACAGTTATTTTTTCTCGAGTTACCCTAAATAATCTTAACCATTACCGGACACTACTAATCGGTACCGAAGTCGGTCAACAATAAGTGGTGCTGGTATTGTACAAGTGACTATGGTCTATATACCTTTTCAGCAAAGAGGGGGAGTGCCTCCTTTCAGTACTATGGCACGCGATTACTCTGACGTCACTGCCTTAATTGGCAGGACATTTTCAGGATGAAGCATATTTACCGATTGCCAGCGAGGATTAGGGCAGCACCGAGGGAGCCATGGTTGGAAACGTGTACATAGAGTTCACGCAGCAGGCTTCCGACACAACTGTATGTTTAATTACATTTTGTTTATTGTGGTAATGCATTAGTTACAGCCACGGAGTGGATACTGGGGAGTAGTCCCACGTGGGGCGCTAATCTTATAATATAAGTATGCCCGTCAATGTGTTCGTGAGAACAGCTGTAATACCGTCTAGTTCGATGGACTATAGGGATTGCGCTCCCAGCCGGTGGCAAGTGGCATTTTCGCCCAATCTTATTTTCGTTCGTTTTATTACCTTGTGTGATTCAAGTGGTGAACGAGGTGAAGTTACTCAGCACTTTCGTCGCCTTCAGTGTCGGTTCGCAGTTTGTCTAACAAAAAAAAAACTGCCTTTTTGTTTGATTTGTTTCTCTTAATATTTATTCAGTTGATTAGTTGGTAAGTTAGTTGCTTGTTAGCTATTCTGTAGAGCTTGCTTCTGAAGATGGAGGCATATAGTTAGTAGCGATATTTATTTATTTGTTCAGTTGATCAGTTAGTAAGTTAGTTGCTTGTTAGCGATATTGTAGAGCTTGCTTCTGAAGATGTAGACATATGGTTAGTAGCAAAATTTGCTTAATGACCGCATTGTGGTTCAAGCACGCTGTCACGTTAACTGTAAAGCTACAAATCTAATTGATATCACATGTATATGGCACGATTATACTACTCCTACATTTGAAGAGTGTCAGCACACCAGTGACGCACTTACGAATAGCTTTTCGCTGACTTCGCCAGCGGGCTTTGGTAGGTCTTGCATTCCGGACTTGCAAATAAGAAAGACAGAGGGTTGAAAACATCAACAGGTACAAAAGAAAAAATGGCAGATCAAACGTACAGTAGGAATTGATTATATGCGAAGCACGAATGAGGAAGATTGATACATGTCGCTTTAAACTCAGCACACCGTTATGAGGCAAACGTAAATTATGCCGTAGATCACTCCCACGTCATGCTTATCATGTTTGCGCCTGCCATTTGCGTTCGTCGTCCATTCACGTCAAGTAATACCAAATTTGGTATATGTGAAGCTAGCTGAACGGCCACAATCATGCTATGAGCGTAGCATGTAGTTATGTTTTACATGACGCATTTGATGATTATCATGTTTGGACGTGCCATATACCTTCGTAGTCTATTCACGTCTCGTGATACAAAATTTGGTATATGCCAAGCTAGCGAAACGGCCGCGAGCACGCTACGAGCGTAGCATGTAGTCATGTTTTATATGACACGCATGTCATTATTATCATGTTTGGACGTCATTAACCTTTATTGTCTGGTTATGCCACGTGATAATAAACTTGGTATATCTGGAGCTAGTGAAACGGCCGCGAGCCCGCTATGAGCGTGGCATGCAGTCATATATTTCATCATGACACGCATATCATGATTATCATGTTTGGACGTGTCATTTACCTTCGTAGTCTATTCACGTCCCATAATACCGAACTTCGAATATGTGAAGCTAGCGAAACGACCGCGAGCGCACCATGAGCGTCGCGTGTAGTCATGACTTACATGACATGCATGTCATGATTTCCACGTTAGGGTCTGTCACTTATGTTCGCCATGCAGTCATGTCATACTATATCAGTTTTGCAATATGCGCAATATGCCATGTAAACTAAACCACGGCAAGAGCAGCAAGACCGCGTAATCGTAATGTAAATCATAAACTTCATGACATACATGTCATGATTTTCATTTCATGACTAGTCACTTATGCTCGTTATACACTAATGTTGTGGCATACCAATTTGGTATAGATATCATTATTGAAGTGGCCTGGAAAGCTAAAAGTCGTACGTGGACAGACAGACAGACAGACAGACAGACAGACAGACAGACAGACAGACAGACAGACAGACAGACAGACAGACAGACAGACAGACAGACAGGACAGACGACAGATAGATAGATAGACTAGATAGATAGATAGATAGATAGATAGATAGATAGATAGATAGATAGATAGATAGATAGATAGATAGATAGATAGATAGATAGATAGATAGATAGATAGATAGATAGATAGATAGATAGATAGATAGATAGATAGATAGATAGATAGATAGATAGATAGATAGATAGATAGATAGATAGATAGATAGATAGATAGATAGATAGATAGATAGATAGATAGATAGATAGATGTGCCCTCGCCGAAATTATACCGCCTCACCAGCTGGGTCTTGATCTTCTCAACTGATGCACTGGACGATCTTTTCCTTCTGCTCACCATCACCCTGCTGCGCGGATGACAGACAGCCATCGTATTCGGTGCAGATGGTCGGCAAGTACCTGTGAACGTCAGGGAGTTCACTGCACTCTGCTCAAACATAAAGATGGTGAGAGAAAAAAAAAAGACAAGCAAATGTTTTTATAGGGTGGGAGAACTATTGAACGGCTTCACCGATCTTCTACGGGGACACTTAAGAGAAACAATAGGGTAGTTTAGACTGATAAATTATGCGCTGAAAACTCTAGTGTTGCAGTTTTTCCCCCATAGGTTCATTATTAGGCGAGAAAAATGAACGTCGAAAGTACCCCTCTTAATTTTCCCGCCGAAATCTCAGATCTTGACATCATAGATTTTATTATTTTTGTTTACCTCATTGGTTGAAGAACTGTATTTGAATCTTAATAAGTTAAGTTTCTGCCACCTCCAGAAGGCAAAGTATTTTATTTTTTTTGCCTACTACTTAGGCCCTAGTAGACGCCATCAAAATCTACAATGTCGCATCGACTGGTGCAGGGACTTCAGTGCCACCACCCACATTTTTTTTAGTGCGTCTTCTCGGTTACCAGGTGTCTCCTCACAGCAATGGTCGTGTCTTGTATATAAAGAGCGAAGAGAATGGGAAAATCATAACAAGAGTAAGGACACTATAAAGATCATTTTTCAGGGTAAATAAAATAAAAAAAGCGATACAAAAAATGAGATATAGAGATAGCGTAGAGAGATAGCGTTTCATTACAAAGTCTTCGTGTTAAACTAGATTCGTTCATTTAACACTGTAAATATTAATTTTATTGACAGATAAAAACAGATATAATTAATATTGTTTAGTTTATTAATATTGCTAGTATAATTTATATTATTACTGCTTGGTTAAACTTTGTAAACATTTAGTTTGTCTGGCGCACTCTCTTTAAAAATTTCACGTTGTGTAATAATGAATAAACAATATTTCTTTTCACCACATTGTCAAATCTAATTACCCGCGGAAAGTGTTCTCATAAAATCATTTACTCGAATCGGATTGGACCTCTTTACATCAAATATTCCATTTGGGAGCCCTGTAGTTAGGCGAATTGTAAAGGTATGCCAGCGGAAATTTGATACTACCAGTTTTAAGACTAACTACTAACATTATTTTGATTTTAATAATAACTTCTCAAATCATCAATGAAAGTTGAATGAAATTATACCAATACTACTAACGATACTTCTCAAATTACCCATATGAACTTTTCAAATTAAATTTGGATTTATCGTGGTTGATACAGTTCACTTGTAACCAATTTTTTAAAACTCCCTCGTATCCTGGTTCATTCCCCAGGTAGGGTTCGGGCAAATGATGGAGGATATCGGCATCATCATTATAGCCATTATGATAATCATCAACAAAGACTACGTTCTTTTTGCAAGGTCAATAAAGCAATGAATAAAAAAAAGAAGTGTGTATGTGATGTGAGTGAAAGAGTAAGAGAGACAGAGAAAGAACACAAAATAGGTAGGAAGGTTTTTAAGTATGTTCTTTTTGGGGTGGAAGGGGGGGGGGGTTACTTAAATGTACATTTTAATGAGACCGAAACTAAAACGAACAAAGAAAAAAAGAAAAGAAGATTGCACTCTTCCCGCAGGTTGAATAACGCTTTCCTGTGTTTCGCAATGTGTTGCAACTTCCTGCACCGTTCGTTTTTTCTGCGTCTAAGAGATCGATTTCGCCGGCGGGCACAGCGCCGGCTTGACAAGCGATTCTAAACCGCGGTTCTTCGTCTCCGGCGTGGTCTAGTGGCTAGGATATCTGGCTTTCACCCAGAAGGCCCGGGTTCGATTCCCGGCGTCGGAACACCTTCGGTCTCATGGTGTAACGGTTAGCACTCTGGACTCTGAATCCAGCGATCCGAGTTCAAATCTCGGTGAGACCTATTTTTTTTTTCCTGGTTACATTCATATTTAACAAATTCGAGTGTTACATGTCAAAACCCAAGAGAACTGAGTGTGTGTGGCACGCCGTTGTGTGTTGCTGGTTAAATTTGACAGCCTTGGTTTCTCCAACATACACCTAAAAATGACGCGAGTGGTTCACATATTTTTATCTTTATTTTATTTTTACGCGTTAAATAGTGGCATACATGGCCTTCAAACGCAGCGGCGTTCTCGTGCTTTGCAACGCAATTGCTTAGTCCCTGAAAATATGTCTTAGAGGCCACACCCTATTTTTTTTAAAAAAAGTCCCTAATACGCGTTTGCGTGTACGTACGTACGGTTTGAGGGTGCGTAGCATTTATATTTTGAGCTGAATGCATTTGACTGCTCCATTTTTAGCCGCCTAATTAGGTGGAAACTTTGTCTTGGTATTGAAGCATCGAGATGCATCACCACCATTTGTTATGTATTTGTAAATCACTGCGAAAGACAGTGGCTTTCATAACGTGCCATTAGTTATTATTGAAGAGACATTGTTTTGAAGCGGCCATCGCAATGCCTTTGCACAACATGAAGAGGCATCCTGTCCAACTTGTATTTCTTCTGTGCTTCTTCTTTTTCTACGAGGTGGTATTGAAATTTTACTGAGTGTACTCATTTTTACATTGCTCTTCCAAACTTAGGCTTATTTTTGCCGACAGTGTGCACAACTAACTAACTAACCAACCAACTAACTAAGCGTAAAAGAATGTGGTTAGTTTTAGTAAGCATTGCTTTATCTGCATGCAGCCACGTAGCGAAGGAAGGCAAGCACAAATAAAAAAGGTCGAGTTGCATTCTGCAAAACTTCGTCCGGCGTGGTTCAGTGGCTGTTCGTTTTCGTTTCACTTTAGTAGAAGGTTGTAGTGATCAGCGTATTATAATAATGGGAAATACTTAACACGTCTTTAAAGGGACACCAAAGAGAAACATTGACTTGGTTTAGGTGGATGTACTCCACTCTGAAAGCTGTAATGCTATATGTTTCACTGTCATAAATTCATTATTAACGGGGAAAGTCTGGGCTGAAGTTTCATTTTTTTTTCTTATTTCTCACCGAGATCTCCAGGCGAGACGTTAAAATTTTCCAAATGTACTTTCCTGTATTTTTGTCACATTGGCTCAATGAATTTTTTTTTTCAAACTTCGTATGACACGTCTAGGACACCACAGAAGACAATGCATCTCATTTTAATCCAGTAGAAGCTATGTAGGATCCAGTACACGCCTTCTAAATTTGCTAAGTGATGATTTGGTGCGGGAACCTCACAGTGGCGTCTACATCCGCATTTTCGTTTTGTGCGTTTTCTCGCTTACCTATAGCGTCATGACGCGGTAGAAGGGGTGTGTTCTGGGTTGTGAAATTGTGCTGTATCGATACGCGAAAATTCGCTTTGATCTTTAGTGTCCCTTCGAGTTGGCGAGCAGCACGTTCATCAGGTCGTACCTTTGTCAAGTACTTGGACGGAATTCCGTGCTGGTCGTAGTTCTCGTAGCAGTCAACGAACATATCTGCCGCTGCCGTCAGCATGGACATCATTTCCTTCTTGTCTGTCGATAGAGGAGA